AGGGTGGACAACCAGGCGGTCATGTTCATATTGCGCAAGGGGGGATCTCTCCACTCGGAACTGACATTGACGTGCCAAGAAATTATCCAGTTCTGCCTCGGCAACGCCACACGCCTTGCAATTGAATGGATTCCAAGAGAGCTCAATGCTCACGCGGACGAACTGTGCAAGTTGCAAGACCACGATGACTACTCCTTACATGCACCATGGTTTTGCCTCTTGGAGCGCCGCTGGGGTCCCCACACGACTGACATCTTTGCAAACGCTCATAACAACTAGGTCCATCGCTTCTGTTCCAAGCTACCACACCCAAGTGTGTTCGCCATAGATGCATTCTCCGTCTCTTGGAAGGGCGAACGATGCTTTGCTTTTTCGCCACCACACCCGATCCTAGCCACACTGCGGCACGCGGAACGCACGCAAGCGGAACTCACGCTGATAGTACCCCAATGGACCGGAGCGTCATGGTGGCCTCTCCTCCCGACGTCCGCACAATCATGGGCTCCTGCGGTGGTAGCGCACATTCCCTTTGCTCAAGGCACTCAATGCCTTCGGCCAGGTTCACACACCTCTGCATTTTCTGGACTCGGATTGCTTCATAGCCCAATCATTGCTTTGCGTGTAAATTATGCGATCTAATAAAAATAATCAATGTGTGATTTCATGACTTTTGGCTCAGCTCCAGCAATAATTGTTGCGCGTTATTAGCCATGTTCGTGCACCATCCACAATCTTTGGTTCGGGCAAGACGGTCGGCCCATTTACCCTGCAAGTACGGGAGTTTGCCAAAAGGCTTGGCCCCCGTTCTGCCCGAACCAAAGAACCCATCTCTCTCCATCAAGTACAGGACATGGCTCGCCCCTACCTCGAGTCGTCAATTCCCGCGGAATACCAGAAAGGCTTGATACCCCTCCTCATGTTTTTAGCGTTTCTGCGCTACTCCGACCTCGTCTCGCTTCAATGGAACGACGTCCATTTCGAGGAGGAGGCAATGTGGCTTCTCATCCCACACTCCAAAACGGATCAGGAAGGGAAGGGTGTATGGATCCCAGTGGCGGCAATTCCGGGCCCATTCTGCCCAGTGAGGTGCACACGCAACTTCATACGCACTGCAGGCCTCACGAGGCTGCCACATGGACCTCTAATCCGACTTTTTTAGAAAGATGCGCAAGCCACTCCAGATGACAACTCACCATCCTACGCCACGATCAAAAATTGGTGTCTCGTCGCCAGCAAGAAGGCCAGACTTGACGTCACGCATATCGGAACCCACTCATTTTGCAAAGGTGCAGCCACTGCGGCGGCAAGCCTCGGAGTCCCTGATCGGATCTTAAAGCGCATGGGCCGATGGCGCAGCGACAGTGCCAATGAAATGTACGTCACGATTGTGCAAGACCAGCTCATCTCTCTCTCCACGCAGCTGCAAGATTCATCAACAGCCCCGTCACTCGCCATTCATCAGCGCTCCATCGAGCGGCACCGCCAGCCAGGCCCTACGATATCAGGATTTTTCCCCTGAAATTCCTGATTTTCAGCCTAGTTTTGTGTACCTACACCGAATTTTCAGTGTTGAGATTTTTGTGACACTGATTTTTTCAGCCTTTACTTCATAGCTAACACTGATGTTTCAGACTTTTATCGAAGTGTACACTGAATGCACATTCATACACTGAATGCACATTCAGAATCCTTCCTGTAAAACACCCGAGACAATAAGTCAACCAACATTTTCCAGATAATAAAACCTTAAAAAAACTTACTGATTATTGACTCGACGAACTGGTTTAGTGGTTAGCGAAGTAGTATCCAATTGATAAGGTTTCCTGGTCAAATCTTTCTGCTACCATATTCGTAACGGCTAATCTCTTGCACAATTGCATGATGTGATTGAAAATTAAGTATTTTGTTTTCCGGAACCTGAAAATTCAGGCTTTATTTTGAGGAACCCTGAAAATTCAGGCTTTTTTTCACAGGGACCCTGATGCATCAACGTCCCTAAAAGTGAATCTGAGGGCCTGCCGCCAGCCCAGACTGCACCTGCCTTTGAAGACCCATATGAAATGAAGCACGCTACCTTTGCAAGTTGGCCTAAGGACACTTTCACAATATTATAATTTATAAAAGTGTAACACTTTCTCAAATCTTGTATTGTGAAAAGGGGCACGTGGCCAACACAGCAAAGGTGGTGCCGAAGCGCTACTCACCCTCTTTTGCCTATAAAAGAGGGTCGTGAGGTCATTCGCCCTCACCCACGTTTTTCATTTCTAGTTGTAGTTTCATTTCTCCCCCCTCCCACCCAAATGTGATGCTGTGATGTATTGATATATAGGACGAGAACGATGTACTACACCCATATGAAATGAAGCATGCTACCCCAAATGAAATGAAGCATGCTACCGTACCTTTGCAAGTTGGCCAAAGGAAACTTTCACAATGATACAATTTTCATGCGCTCTACTCATCCGATTCATGCCGGCGATATCCCTCTCCAATCCTCCCTACTCCTCTCGGTCTAAGTTTCAACACATTCATTACCTTGTGTGCCCGCTCCCACAACTCCTTCCCTAATCGTTTCCGCTCCTCTAACCGCTCCTGGACATACGCATACACTGAAGGAGCGGCAAAAGCAGCGCCCAGCGCGATCACGACGTAAAAGCAGATCCACATCACGTTGATGAACCCTGAGGTGATGTTTGGGTCGTTGGTGGTCTGCTGGACCCAGGGGACTCCCCCCACATTCATGCCAAAGGCTGGTGGGAAGGGAGGGAGAGGGGAAGGGGAAGAAAGGAGCAGGGAGCAATTGAGCTTAACTGGATGTTATAGATGGCTACTTGGTCGGAGGTCCTCTCTGCCCAGGGGACTGGTTTTTGAGAATTCTCAAAAAGGGGCAGGGAGCAATTGAGCCAAACCGTATGATATAAATGGCTTCTTCTTGGTCGGTGGTTCTCTCCGCCCAGGGGACTCCGCCCAGCGCAAAAGCAGCACAGAGTGCAATCACGACGCAAAACGCAGATCCAGATGAACCCTGAGGTGACGTTTGGGTCGTTGGTGGTTTGCTGCACCCAGGGAACCCCACCCACGTTCATGCCAAAGGCTGGTGGGGAGGGAATTCGGAGGAAAAGGGGGAGCAATGAGTTGAGACTGTGCGTTATGAGGCCTCGAGTGACGGTTGGGTCGTTGGTGGTTTGCTGCACCCAGGGAACCCCACCCACGTTCATGCCAAAGGCTGGTGGTGAGGGAAGGAAGGAAGAGGGCAGGGACAGGGAGAACTGTTTTTTGAGAACGGTATGTTATGAATGGCAGCTCGGGTGACATTTGGGTGGTCGATGGTTTGCTGCATCCAGTGCAATAACCACATAGAAGCAGATCCACATCACGCTGATAAACCCTCGAGTGACATTTCGTTGGTCAATGGTTTGGTTGCTGCACCCAGGGACCTCCACCCACGTTCATGTGAAAGGCTGGCGGGGAGGGAAGGTGGGGAGGAAGCAGGGTGAGAAGAATGTCTAATTTGTCAAAGTTTGCTGCACCCAGTACAATCACCACATAGAAGCAGATCCACATAGTGCTGATAAACCCTCGAGTGACATTCGGATCGTCGGTGGTTTGCTGCACCCAGGGGACTGGTTTGCTGCACCCAGGGGACTGGTTCATGCCAAAAAGGCTGGCAGGGAGGGAGGGAGGGAGGGAGGGAGGGAGGGAGGGAGGGAGGGAGGGAGGGAGGGAGGGAGGGAGGGAGGGAGGGAGGGAGGGAGGGAGGGAGGGATGGAGGAAGGGAGGGAGGGAGGGAGGGAGGGGGGGGAGAAAGAGGTGAAACCATGTGTTGACGAATCCTCGGGTGACATATGGGTCGGTGGTCTGCTGCAACAAAATAGGATAAGGAGTTCAGCTGAGTTATTCTTAAGTCATAATGATAAATATAATAGTTGGGACATAAGATTTGATTTGGTTTTTATTCGGCCTTCTAAGTTGCCTTTAATAATAAAAAATGATCGGTGAAAAACTACGAATCAACGAGAAAACACAGCAAAATGGTTTGAGGAACTGCGCAATCAAATTTGCGAATCTTATGAGCAGATAGAAATTGATTTTGCTAAGGAACATAATTTAGTAGCAGGTAAGTTTATATAAAAAACCGCAATCAAATTTGCGAATCTTATGAGCAGATAGAAATTGATTTTGCTAAGGAACATAATTTAGTAGCAGGTAAGTTTATAAAAAAAACTTGGGAAAGAGGCGGTGGCGGTGGCGGTGTTCTGTCTATCATGCGGGGTAATGTTTTTGAAGAAGTTGGAGTTAATATTTCCACAGTACACGGAATATTCTCCGAGGAATTTAGAAAACAAATACCTGGAGCGACAGAGAACCCTGAATTTTTTGCTACTGGTATTTCACTTGTAGCACATATGTGTTCACCTCTTGTTCCTGCGGTACATTTTAATACGAGGTATATAAAAACAACAAGAAGCTGGTTTGGTGGTGGAGCTGATCTTACCCCTATGTACCCGGATGATAAAGAAACAAGGATATTTCACCAATTGTTCAAAGAAGCATGTGATAAACATACTCCAGAATATTACCCTAAATTCAAAAAAGCATGTGATAAATATTTTTTCTTAAAAAAAAAACAAAAACAAAAAAACGTTCATGCCAAAGGCTGGCAGGGAGGGCAATGTGGGGAGTAAAGAAAGGAGGGAAAGAGGTGAAACTGAGTCGGGTGACATTTGGGTCTCACCACTGAGGTGAAAGAGGTGAAGCTGCGCTGAGGCTCTCACATTCACCCCACCTCCTGACACCACTCTTACCTGTAGAAAGTTGATTTTCGAGACGTCTCAAAAACGAGGTGAAGCTGCGCCGTGGCTCTCACATTCACCCCACCTCCGGATATCTTACAGTGAGCAGCGGCACTTAGGTTTAGGCTAGAGCAAGTAGGAAAAGACAGAGAAATTCTTAACACTGGCTACTAGTCAAGAGGTGAAGCTGCGCAGAGGCTCTCACATTCACCCCACCTCCGGATATCTTACAGTGAGCAGCGGCACTTAGGTTTAGGCTAGAGCAAGTAGGAAAAGACAGAGAAATTCTTAACACTGGCTACTAGTCAAGAGGTGAAGCTGCGCAGAGGCTCTCACATTCACCCCACCTCCTGACACCACTCTCACCTCCGGTGAAAATAGAGAGCCGTGATTCCCCAATTGATGCGTCTCATACCTGGTCACCCACCTACCTTCTAGTATCGCAACTGCCGTGGCTCTCACATTCACCCCACCTCACCCCACCTCCTGACACCACTCTTACCTCCGGTGATGATAGAGAGCGGCAGAAAGACGATGGAGAGGAAGGAGATGTAGTAAAGCTTCTTGTTGATCTGCTCCGACTGCCACTGGTCCAGCCCCGTCTGTAGCGCCGTGATTCTCGCTGTCAGGAACCCCACGTTCTCCTTGCCTCTCCTCAGCCGAGCCATTGCCCCATCCAGCACCGCCGAAGCTACAGGTCCGGCGCACCAGTGCCGAGCCACGAGCCTGTCCTTCAGCTTCGGCAGCACCACCTCCCCGTGAGCCAGCGACTGCAGCACTCTCTGCAAGTCCAGGTGGAGCTTGGGGAAGGTTCTGTCTTTCAGTAACCGGAGACGGTGATCAGATCCTGAGCATGTAGACAGGCGGGAGTAAAGAAAGAAGTTTTGAGTCGACTCAAAAGTCAGACGGTGATCAGATCCTGAGAATGTAGACAGGCGGGAGTAAGAAAGAATCAAGGTAAGAATCACACACAGAGATTCAGCAAGCAGTGACTGCAGCACTCTCTACAGGTCCAGGCGCAGCTTGGGGAAGGTTCTATCCTTGAGCAACCTCAGGCGATGGTCAGAGCCTGCGAGTGCTACACAGGGAAAAGGGGGGAATCCGGGTCGTAATCACACACACAGATACAATAAGCAGGCGCAAGACAGCAGCTCTCTCTGCAAGTTGACTTTTGAGTCGACTCAAAAGGGTCGTTATCACACACACAGATACAATAAGCAGGCGCAAGACAGCAGCTCTCTCTGCAGGTCCAGGCCCCCCTTGGGGAAGGTTCTATCCTTGAGTAGTTGCAGCCTGTGGCCTGACCCTGAAAGAGTATACAGAGGGGATTACGAAGGGGTGGGGTTGGGTGGGGTAGGGATTGCACAGAGAGGTTCAACAAGCAGGGAGAACCGGGCAGCACTCCCTGCAGGTCCAGGTGCAACCTGGGGAAGGTCCTATCTTCAAGTAACTGAAGCCGACGGGCAGACCCTGAGGGCGGCACACAGAGAGGAATGGAGGGGCGTGTCTGTCAGCCTGGGGATTGCATACAGAGATCACCATCCAACACAAGCAGGGGGAACACTGCAGCACTCCCTGCAGGTCCAGGTGCAACCTGGGGAAGGTTCTATGCCCAAGCCAGGTGGGATATAAATAAGGGGAAGAGGGTTATCAAGACGGGGGAAGAGGGAAAAGGGCATACGCTATCCCACCTTCATCCAGGTCCCTCTCATGCTGATCCAGCATGCACCCCACCTCCACCACCACATCCCCCAAATGCTCCATGTGCGTCTCAGTGTGCGTGTGTGTGTGTGCGTTTGCATGTGTGCGCGCAATAGGGAATGGAGAATACGCTACCTTCATCCAGGTCCCTCTCGTGTTGGTCCGGCATACACTCCACCTCCACCACCACATCCTCTAAGTGCTCCATGTGCGTCTCCACGATGTGTTGCAGCAACCCAAACACTCACATGCTCTTCACAGCTGTACCACACTGTACCGTATTGTACCGCACTGTACCATACTATATCGCAACTCACCTTCGTCTAAGTCCCTCTCGTGTTGATCCAGCATACACTCCAACTCCACCACCACATCCTCCAGATGCTCCATGTGCGTCTCAACGATGTGATGTAGCAGCCCAAACACTCACACACTCTTCACAGATGTACCGTACTGTACCGTATTGTACTGCACTGTATCATATACTCACCTTCATCCAGGTCTCTTTCATGCTGGTCCAGCATGCATTCCACCTCCACCACCACATCCTCCAGGTGCTCCATGTGCGTCTCCACAATGTGTTGCAGCAGCCCAAACACTGTCACTGGGATCAGGCATTCAGCATTCTCCGGGTGGCTTTTCCTCAGGAGCTCTTCCAACTCCTGGGGGGAAAGCAGGCGACAAACGAGGAGAGGCAAGGGTAAGAGGAGGGGCATGCTCAAACACGGTCATTCAGTGCTCCCCAGGTGCTCCATGTGCGTCTCCACAATGTGCTGCAGCAACCCAAACACTGTCACTGGGATCGATCAAGCACTCGGCGTTCTCCGGCTACGTTGGCAGATACGAGTATCACGTATAATACGCTAGCGTATTATACGCTGGGTATATACGCGGTACGCCAGGGGTGGCGTACTGGTGATACGTAAAAATACGCTGGGCGGGCAGGTAAAACTTTTTTCCCGGGCAGGGCCTGTTTCAGGGAGGGGGTTATGTTACGCAAGCGTATATACGTGGTACGCAACCCTGCCCAAGGCGTATCTGCCAACGTAGTTCTCCGGGTGGCTCTTTCGCAGCAGCTCCTCTAGCTCCTGGAGGAGAGCAGGTGAGAGACACAAGGGAAGGCAAAGGGTAAGAGGTGGGGCATGTAACACACCGCAGCAGCCCAAACACCGTCACTGGAATCAAGCACTCCGCATTCTCCGGGTGGCCCTTTCGCAGCAGCTCCTCTAGCTCCTGAGGAACACAGGGGGCAGGTGAGACACAAGAACAGGTAAAGGGTAAGAGCACGAGCAGGTATCAAAGCAGCCCAAACACGGTCACAGGGATCAGACACTCGGCGTTCTCTAAATGGATCTTCTGCAAGAGTTCTTCCAACTCTTGGAGGGACAAGTGATACATGCGGGAATGCAAGGGTGAGAGGTGGGGCATGCTAAACAGCAGCACAAACCCAGTCACTGAGATAAGGCATTCAGCGTTCTCTGGGTGGCTCTTCCAACTCCTGGAGGAGAACAGGCGAGACAGAAGGGAAGACAAAGTGTAAGTGGTGCATGATGCACTGCCAGGTGCACTGCCACATGCACTGCCACACGCACTGCCGCACGCACTGCAAGAGACACTCACTGCATTGACGGGGCACTCACTGCATTGACGGGGCACTCACTGCATCGTCAACATCAATGGTCGTGTGCGCCTCCGCCTGCTCCTCCCTCGCCTCCTTTCTCCACGGCGCCATCGCCCCCAGCCCAGCACCTTCCCAGCATGATAGGGCACCACCCACTACCATACTTTCCCCACGTGAAAGATCAACACGCGCTGCCACACAACATACTCCGCATAGCACAAGGCACTCACCGCATCGTCAACATCGATGGTCGTGTGCGCCTCCGCCTGCTCCTCCCTCATCCCGTCACCGCTCTCAACACCCTTCCGAAATAGTAAGGCACAACCACATGCACTGCAAGGGGCACTCACCGCATCATCAACATCGATGGTCGTGTGCGCCTCCGCCTGCTCCTCCCGCACCTCCCTCCTCCGCGGCGTCATCGCCTCCAAAACCTTCCCCACTCGCGCCAAAACCCCGCCACTCCGCTTCCCCCCAACCCCACCCGCGTCCCCAGATGCACCTCCCCCAGCAGAACCCACCCCAGACGCGCCTGCACCAGAAAAACCTGCACTAGCCCCCCATCTGACTCCTCCCCCACCAGCATCACTAGAATAGCCTCTACTGCCCAATCCGAAGCTTCTGCTGCCCAGCCCCTGCAACAGCCCCCTTCGGTCCAAATTGCCCTCGCTTTTCACATAACTCACGCCTGCACCGGAGACAGGCAAACCCCCCTCTATAATGCCAGAGGAAAGCGAACCCCCCTCTATTGTCATGCACTCTTCTATCTCCGAGTGTGGCTGTCTGAAAGAAGCGGCTGCAGTCTCAATTCTTACCGTTGCTCCTCCTGCTCCACTAGTTCCTGTAGTCCCCATCCCGTCTGCCACTGCTGCTGCTATCGCGGAAGCCTCTAACGAGGATGATCCTGCCCCTACGCTGATTTTGAGAGGTCGGGGTGTGTCGGATGGGCTGCCAGGCGTGCTGGTAATGGGCGTGACTGTAGCGCTGGTACCTTTAACGAGAACGGAAAGCGCAGCGGTTTCTGCTTCGCCCTCGTTAATAGCCCGGAATGACGCATTCGGCGACCGTCTCCTCAAAACAGTAGCTCCGTCTGTCCCTCTGTCCGTGCCACCAAGACTACTGCCAAAACCAGCAGCACCAACGGCGGCACCAGCAGCAGCACCGGCGGCAACACCAGCAGCAGCACCAGCGGCAGCGCCAGCGGCAGCAGCACCACTGGAACCCACACTGCTCACCCCTCCAGCCGAGGCAGCATCGTCGCGCAACCTAGCCACCAGCCCCGCCAACCCTACTCCAACCTCCGACCCTAACAGTCCTCCTGGCTCTCTTTGCAGCTCTAAACGCGGCACTGGCCCCAACGCGACGCTTACTATTCCAAACGGCGTGATCCGCGCCGCGATCTTAAAAGTGTACGGGCTGTCCATGGGCCCTGGGGAATTGATCCGCACGAACAGCGCGCCGCCGAGCGTGCCGCAATATGGACCGTTGGATAGAAGCGTCGTGATCTCCTGCAGCTGCAGCGGAGGGTGCAGATGCGTGATGAGCTGGCGAGCCGCGGCGGAGAGCGACGGGCAGGATCGCGGGATCTCCACGTGGAACCACGAGAACTCGCCACCTGGCTGCGTCAGGAGCCCCGCGGCGGCGCCTGTACCGGAGGGAGTTACTCCCGCGGAAGCAACGCCCGCGGCAAGGTCTGCTACAGCCGCGGGGACGGCGAGCGCGGGGTGGGGGAGATAAAATCCCGTTGCGGCGTCCAATGAGCCGGCTGAGTCTGTTCGGCAAGAAATCGGACGGGGAGGATTGTCCGCAGGCGGCGGCGAGCGCGCTGCGTCTGATTCTCGGGGGGATATCTGGAATTGCACCTGCTGGTGGTGGTGCTGGTGGTGGGGGTGAATCTGCTGTTGCAACTGAATCGTCGTCGCCTGCTGTAGTTGCGACGGAGTATGCTGCCTCCTCAGCAACCGTCCCCTCTCGAATTCCTTCAGCCGGTCCCAATCCAACCGCTCAAACGAGCCCAGGCCGTCGAACCGATACGCTGACCGACGGATTCGCGACCTCTCTCGCTCCTTCGAGGATCTGGAACGAGAGAAAGCACCGAAGCGCTTCGGGCTGCGAGGCGACGAGGTGGCGAAGAGAGGACGCGTATCGGATCCGCGATCCGACCAATCCATGATTTGGCGCTGGATATTAAATTCCAGATGCTGTTAAGATACACTCGCACTATCGTTTAAAGCCGCGTCGATAGTGTGCTGGAGAGGCGTAAAAAGGACGTGACTTCTTGTGCGGAGACGCACAGAAGTCACCGCTGAAGATATAGACGCGCAGTCGAATAGAAACAGCGTCAGCACGCAAATGTGTGTGCTAAATTACAAGAAACAGTTACATCGTTGAGAATATACCATTCTACCGCTGCTGCTCACTATTCTGGCAGAAAATCCAAGCCAGTCGTTTGCGAAATCCCGCTGTGCCGCTGCCTGACAGCTTCTTCATAAAAGCCAAGGGTCATCGATTAGTTCACTGATTTCAAAAGGAAACAGAGGCCTAATCACCACGGCTACTTTCACTCCCTGCGACTTCTCCTAAGGAGCCTACGAGCCGACGAGCGATTGCTGAAATATCGCACTGGAACTCGCAGATCCCGCGAGCCACGGACGTGACTAAGCGTCGCCCCTCGATCAATAAACTGTCACTAGGCCCAAAGGTTCCTAACTTTTCGTCCCTAAGTCAACAGACTCCCTGGTCAATTAGTCCATAAGTGCCACCTACGGATTGATAGTGCTCGGAAAATCGTTTCATATTTGGTTTCCACTTGCGGACGGGAAGAGGCAGTTCAAGAAGAACCGATATGGCAATCTCAAGGGTCGAGGCTTGAGAGGGTATGATGGACCAGCAACCGCACTGCGTCCCAGATTATTCCTTTCGAACCTTACAGAGCCGCGTCAGACTCAGCGGGAACCGCGATTCGGCAGGCTCCACTTTTATTGTCTCCGTGTTTCTCGACCCCAGATTTCTCCTCCTGCATAATGCCGTCCGGTTGCCTCACCTCCCCTGACAAGCCCTTTCCCGCCGTTTTCTCGACCAATCGGACGCGTCGTTGATGTTTCTCGGAATTGTAAAGCAGAAAGATACCTTCCTCGCTAAACAAGGCTGCTCAACAATTATAAGACTTCGTGCAGACGATGGAGGGCACGAATACGGATGGTACATAAACACAAGTTAACTAAGAGGTCAGTAGAAATCTACCAGCCAGAAATATCCCGTTAGGTGATATATCTAGCCTAGTGAGAAATGTCCCGGGTCCTAAATCAATCTCCTCTACCTCCTCCACACAAGAGCTATGCTCAACAGTGTCATTCTCCTTCTCGCTTTCTCGCTTCCCTTTTTGCCCTTTCTCTCTTCCCTGAACCCCCCGACGACCATTTCCGCCTCTACCCTTTCCTTGCTTCTTACCTATATCGTCCCTCGCACATGCAACTAGGCACTCACTACCGAATTTGCTTACAGAGAGTCGTCGACCGTCCTCACTAACTGCAAGGCGCACTGCAACAGGCAAAGGACCCCCATATGACGACTCCTCTTCTGCCACTTCTCCTATACCGCCCTCCCCTATAGTCACATCCGCACCAGCCCCTCGTCCGGATAAACTCGCATCTGGAAGAATCGCATCCGAGCTTGATGATAACGAATTATTGGACTGTAGAGACGCGAGTGTACTGTTCTCTGAAGTTTCAGCATCCAGCGCCACACCGGCCGGAGTTCCCAAGGCTTCCCGCGATGCAGCTCCCAGCAAACGCTTAGATAGGGACAGCCAACCAGCCCCAGGGCCAGAAACACCCATTTCCTCTCCGCTTAGCTGCTGCTGCTGCTGCTGCTGCTGCTGCTGCTGCTTCTGCTGTTGCTGCTGCTGTTGCTGCTCCATCCACTTCCTCTGACCTGAAATCCAGAAGGTTTCTCTAGACCAGAACTCGCGAGGAGGGATGAGAGAGATGGGGGGTGTTGAGGGGGAAGTAGGGGTGTCAAGGACTTGAGGGACCGATCCTTGCCCTTGCCCTTGCTGCTGCTGCCTTTGCTGCAGCACTGCCTCCTGCCCTTGCTGCTGCTGCTGCTGATTGATTTGCTGTTGCTGCTTTTGTCTGTGCCGTCTCCCCAGTCCCAGGCTTGGCGAGGAGGGGAAGAGCACTGAGCTAGCAAAGAACGGCGTGCCAGGGGCCTTCCAGGCGTAGGGGGATAACGCTGCTGGTGTAGCAGCAGCAGGAGATTCCGCAGAAGTTTGCAGAGTGTGGTTGTGAGCGGTGGGAGGGTTTGCAACTGGGTTGTTGGGGTGGGGGATGCGGAGGGGACGGAGGCGGCGGGCTAGAGAGGAAGAGAGGCGAGAGGAGCGAGGGGAGGGAGGGGGGGAGGAGGAGGAGGAGAGAGGGGAAGAGGAGGGAGAGGAGGAGGGAGAGGAGGAGAGTGAGGGAGAGTGAGGAAGCGAGGGTGAGGGACGGGTGGAGGATGGTGTAGTGTCCGAGGTTTGAGAGGAGTGGGAAGGGAACAGAAAGGGCAGCTTCAGGAGCTGCAGCCGCCCGACAGTATCCAGCACAGGCTGAGGGAATCTGATCTGGGCGGCAGAGAATCTCAACAGTGACAGTGGGTTGGGCAGCAGAGGGGGAATGGGGAGGAGAGGGAGGTCTAGGGAGGGTTGGAAGGAGGAAGTGGGGGAGGAGGTGAAAGGGGAGGAATAGCGGACGGATAGGCGGGGGGAGGAGAATTGGGGGGAGTAGTAGGGGGAGTGGTGGTGGGAGGAGGAGTGGGGGGAACTGAGGCGAGCTGTGGGGGTGAATCGAGGGGTGAATCGGGGGGAGGGGGTAAAGCAGGGGGAGGGGGTGAAACGGGGAGTGCGGCTATAGGCGGAGGGAAAGTGGGGGGAAGGGGGAGCGTGGGGAGAGTTGAGGGAGTGTGTATACGAGGTTCTAAGAGGGTTTAGAAGGTTAGGGTTTGAAGAGGAGGAAAGGGTAGTGGAGTGTGGGGGTTTGAGGGGAAGAGAGGGGGAGTGAGAGGAGGAAGGGGAGGGAGGGTATGGGGGAAGGGCAGATTTGCTATTGGCGCTATTGAGCGGCAGACTGGAGATCAGATTCTGATTCTGGCCAAATCTTGGATCCTGATTGGCTGCTACGAACTCCAAGAATCCGTCACCAAGTGACACGTGGAGGGCTGGGATTGGCTGGCGGTCGTCCAATGAGAAGACAGAGCGGAGAAGAGGGAAGAGGAGAGGGCTCCTTAGGCTGCACGGGGGATAAGGGGAGAGAGAGGGGGGTGGGGGGAGGGGACGATGAGGAGAGAGAGAAGAAGAAGATTGAGTGAGAGGTGGGAGTGGGCGTGAGAGGAGAGGGAAGAGAAGGGGGAAGAGGAGAGGGCTCCTTAGGCTGCACGGGGGGAAAGGGGAGATGGGGGAGAGGGTTGGGGAAAAAGGGCGAGGGGGGGAGCAACGGGGGGAAGATGGATTGTGATGGGGGAGTGGGAGTGAGCGGAGGGGGAAGAGGAGAGGGCTCCTCAGCTGCATGGGGGGAAAGGGAAGAGAGAGGGGGGAAGGGGGATGGGGGAAAGAGGGGAGGGGATGGGGATAAGGGGAGTGAGGGGAGAGAAGGGGGAGGATGGAGTGAGATGAGATGGGGAAGTGAGAGTGAGGGGCGGGGGAGGGGTAGAGGGCTTTGAGACGGCAAGTGGGGAGGGTTTGGGCTGGGGTAAGGAGGAAATGGGGGAGGGAGGGGGAGAGTGGGCGTCAAAGCTTGGAGAATGAGGAGCAGAAGTGGCTTAAAGGGCCCGGATTGGCTGGTAGCCGACCAATCGAAAGAAAGATTAGAGGGGCAGGAAGAAAAAAGGGTCCTGAGGTTCATAGGGGCAAGGCTGAAGAAAGGGCACGGGAAGGACACCAGGAAAGTGCAACAAACTGGACTAGCGCGCGTGCTTCTCATGTCCTACTTTTGAGGCGCCTCAAAAGTCAAACTGGACTAGCGCGCGTGCTTCTCAAGTCCTACTTTTGAGGCGCCTCAAAACCCGCGTGAACTGAGACGACTTTTAGGGCGCCTCAAAAGGCAAACTGGACTAGCGCGCGTGCTTCTCATGTCCTACAACAATTTTTTATGCCGCGAAGCCTGTTTCTGTTTTCCGAGGCGCCTAAACAGATGCCTTTATATATCCTGAATCGGATTCTGCGAAACCTGTGTTTGATGACCAACGCAAATACAGAGCAATCATAAAATTCGACTCACGTTCAGCTCTGTAATTGCGTTGCTCACCTCCTGCTGAAGTGGTCCTCACCGAGAGGGATATGGGCTATTTTTTAGGCGCCTAAAAAAACCGTCTTACGGGCCAGGCCTCATGGATTGAAAATCCCGACACTCTAAATTACCCTCCACCGGGTCGCTACAAGAAACCGACCCACCTCCTGTTGAACAGTTGACGCTGACCCACCTCCTTTTCAAATCTTCAAGGTTCATGAAGAGAAAGGGGCGAACTGGAAAGAGGGGGCTTTTGAGAGTGCATTTGAGTCGACTCAAAAGCAAAGTCGCCTGGATGGCGGGCCCTGGTGGGCATTTGATGGCGGGCCCTGGTGGGCATTTGATGGCGGGCCCTGGTGGGCATTTGATGGCGGGCCCTGGTGGGCATTTGATGGCGGGCCCTGGTGGGCATTTGATGGCGGGCCCTGGTGTGAATTAGGTGCATTTGAGTCAACTACTCAAAAGCAGAGGGTTCATAAATCTTTGAGGCGCCTCAAAAAATTGCCTCAAAAGGCGCCTAAAGAATGGCCTCAAAAATGGCCTGAAAAGGCGCCTTAAAAATCGCCTAAAAAATCTTCAAGGTTCATGAAGAGAAAGGCGCGCTCTGGAAAGAGGTGGTTTTTGAGGCGCCTCAAAAGCCATCTCAATCCTCAAGTTTTTTGAGGCGCCTAAAAAATCGCCTGAAAAGGCGCCTCAAAAACCACCTCAATCTTCAAGGCTTATGAAGAGAAATGGGCGCACTGGCAAGTGCGAGTCGGGCAAAGCGACTCACCTCCTATCTGATTCCCGGAAAAGCCCTCCGCAATGCCCTCCTTCATGCTCTAAGAAACAGACTCACCTCCTATAATACATAAATTGCTGACTCACCTCCTGTTGAAGTCGTCAGGGCTCATGGATAGAAAGGCGCGCACTGGGAAGTGTGAGTCGGTGAAACTGAAAGGGGGAAAGGGAGGCGGGAATTAGGGAGAGGGAATAGGGGAGGGGGAGGAGGAGGGGGAGGGGGAAGGGGAGAGGGAAACATGAAAGGCTGGCAGGGTTTTGGAAGGGGAGAGAAAGGCGCGCAGTGGAAAGTGCGAGTCGGTGAAACTGAAGGGGGGAAGGGAAGGGAAGGGAAGGGAAGGGAAGGGAAGGGAAGGGAAGGGAGGGGGAGGCATTTAGGAGGGGGAGGAAAGCGAGGGTTTTGCGAGGGTTGTGGGAGGAAAGGAAGGAGACGAGGGGAGAGAAGAACTACGAGCGGGCAGGGATGGGGAGGGGTTAGGTTAGGAGGGAAGAATTGGCAGGGGAAGCGGGAAAGGCAGGGAAGTGCGAGTTGAAAACGCTGCCATGAGGGAGGGGAAGGGAAGGGAAGGGAAGGGGGAGGGGAGGGAGGGGAGGGAGGGGAGAGGAGGGAGGGGAGGGGAGGGGAGGGAGGGGAAACTGCGAGTGAGTGAGTATTGATGCCCCTCTCTCTCACCTGGGAGTGAGTCTTTAATTCTTGCCAGAAGAAGCAGCGCGCGCGCGCGTGTGTGTGGGGGAGGGGGGGTGTGGGTGTGGGTGTGGATACCCCATGCCCCACTCTCTCTCTCACCTGGGTGCGAGTCCCCAATTCTTGTGTGTGTGTGTGTGTGTGTGTGTACGAGTGAGTGAGTGTGGATACCTCATGTCTCACTCTCTCTCACTCTCTCACTCACTTGGGAGCGAGTCCCCAATTCTTGCCAAAGCGGACGGAGGAAGCAGCCATATCCACATCAGAAACGGACAAACCCTTGTACTCGGCCGCCCGGGCCGACACCGACACGCCAGCCAGCCGCCCAGAGAGCAGGTCTTGTCCTGTAGCGGCCACCTTGATTCTCAGATCGCCACACGAGTCGAGCTGAAGGGCGGGAAAACAAGAGGAGCAGGGAAATCGAGAAAGCTATTTTTAGACGTCTCAAAAACACCCTCTCTACACGTGGGAATCGAGAAAGCTGGTTGGCATCAAGCCAAGCACCTTCAGCAAGTAAATTGCTGCCACGTATTGAAGCATGGCCTCTAAATGGGGCTTGATTGACCCTCTCTACACGTGGGAATCGAGAAAGCTGGTTGGCATCAAGCCAAGCTTGCAAAGTACGTAGCATCAAGCCATGTGGATAGCTAGTTTTCTTTTGTGTGTGTGTGTGTGTGTGTGTGTGTGTGTGTGTGTGTGTGTGTGTGTGTGTGTGTGTGTGTGTGTGTGTGTGTGTGTGTGTGTGTGTGTGTGTTTTTCTCTCTCTCAGCCTAATGGCATATGCATGGTGATGGAGGCGCGAGGCATTGCGAAGAATTGTGTTTAGGAGGAGGGGAGGCGAGGAACAAAGCTGAAAATTCACCTGGAAGTGCACCTGAGGGCTAGGGAGCTGACCTGGGACCGTAGAAAAGAGTGAACGGCCTGAGTCAGCAAGGCAGACACCAACCCGGAAGCTTCCTCCTCCCCTTCCTCCTGAACCGCTTCAGTAGCTGCTGCTTTTGCCACACCACCATCACCACCACTGTTCTTGCCGCTGCCACCGCTGCTGCTGCCGTTTCTGCCGCCGTTGCTGCTGCTACTGCCCCTGCTATTGCCGTTACTGCTGTTGCTGCTGCTTCTGTTGAGACCTCCTGAAGCCGCCCTGCCGCCCACCTGCGCTCCGAACTGTTCCTCCGCGATTTGCAGCGCCGCCCAGGGGTCAAGCAGGGCGCGGGGGGGTTGGGGGGGAAGGGGAGGATGGGGGGAGCTGGGGGGAAGGGCGGGGGAGTGGCGGAGGGGGGAATGCACCTGCACGTGGGGCGCGCCCGCGCTCATATTCCCCTTCCTCTGGGAATGGGGATCAATAACGGAGGGAGCTTCAGGTGCCATGGGATCCAGCCGCTCAGGTGTTTCTGCAACAGAGCCAGGTGGGTTCAACAGAGACGCCACCTGACGCCATAGCGCCTGAGACTGGCCCAGGAGTATCGCCTCCTGCTGCTGCCAGGCCCCATCCTCTTTATAAGCTTCCACGCTATACGCTGCTTCATCTCGCTGCCGTGGCCATCCCAAAACACCACTTCCCAAGAGCCCCCTTACAATGCCAAGGCCAAACGCGTCAGGGGAAGGTATATCTGGGGTAGGTCTACCTAATGCCTCGCCGTTACCTCCCCAGAAAGACTCGCCTCCCCCTCCCGAAACTCGTTCCCCCATCCCTTCCCCCGCTCCCCCCTCTCCGCCCCCTCGCGCGTCCCCCGTTTCCCCCCATCCGCTCGTCATCGCCCATTTCGCCGCAACTGGCGCCTCCCTGCCGAGCCTCTGGCCCCACACCCGAACCTGGCTCCGAACCTGGTGCCGCTGCCGAGCCTGCGCCACCTTGTTCCGAGCCACCTCCCACAGCCCGAGCACCACCATCACGGCTCCTAAGCGCGCCGAGTTGACCCTCTCTTCCCCGCGTTTCACGGCGGCTCGCACCGCCTTTTGCGCCTCTGACGGCGCCTCGAGAACGCTGCGCTTCAGCGCTTCGAACGGGTCGCGGAAGCGGGTCGCGAGGGGGAAAGGGGAAAGCTGGCGGAAGCGCTGCTGCAGTCCGTTGCGCAATCCGTGGGAAAGTGCGGCGGCGTTTTGGCGGAAAATGGCCCGAGGCGCGGTGCCGTGGCCTGGGAAGATCCACGTGGCATGGCGCTGTTCGCTCCGCCCAATCCCACCCCGCGGTCCCAGCTGGAGTAGCTGACGTGGCACCAATTGCTTCTGCTGCTGCTGCTGTCGAGCCTTCGCCTCGGCGTGGTGGACAATCTGCCGAACCTCAGCTTCGACCCGAGCCTGCTCTTGCGCGTCTAATGGAGCGGAACTACGAGAAACCGCGTCACCTGCGCCAACTGCGCCTTTGGACGAAGCAGCGGAAGCGGAGTGACCCGCGGAAAGCCCCCGGGGAAGCTCCGCGGAGTTTCCGCCAATCGGCTCTCGGCCATGTCCCTGGCCCCAGTCCCCCCGCTCCGCAGAAACCCGCCTTTCCCCCTGCTGACGTGGCCGCGCTCTGCTGCGATCCCTTGCCGCCCAGGCGGCCGCGCGAGCCGCGCGGTGGGAAGGCGTCTCGACCGGCGGGACGTAATGATGGCGGAGGTGATGCTGACGTGGATGTTCTGGCTGCTGACGTGGCTGCGGGTGGTTGGGTTGGGCTAAGGTCCCGTGGGGAGCCCCGTTGCTACTGCTACTACTACTGCTGTTACTGCTACTGCGGCTGCTGCCGCTTGCACTGGCGGCATCTATCCTAAAGCTGCCGTCAGTTGCGGCGCTTCGGGGGCTGTTCAAGAACCTAGGAGTTGCCGCGCTGCCCCCGCGCCTGCGTGGGTGGTGGCGGGGGCTGGCGCCGAACCTCCCGCGGTTCTGCGCGTGAGTCGGCGAGCGGGGATCGCGCGCGCCTTGGCGGACCCACGAAGGTATCTGCGATGTTTGAGGCTCCATTTCTCGCTTAAGAGCGCCGTCAGTTCGCCACTTTATCAGTCTGTCCAAATTTCTCCGGTTGACTTTTGGACCCCCTCACAAGTCCACCTCGCTTTACCGTCTCCGTTTTTTTTCAGAAACATCCCGTTGTCTGGCTGTCATCCTGCCAGCTGCCTCTCGAGAGCCGATTAATAACTTAGGGTGCACGGAGGGGGAATGCGAGCAAAGCGAGCAAGCGAGCAAGCTATGCGACAAGGACGAGTGAATGGGAGCACCAGAAGTGGTTGAGCGAAGGAGAAAGGGAGAAGCAACACTGTTTGACGAAGAGTTTTTGAAACCTGCTGCACCGGTTACAGATGCCCTCGAAATTGGACTTGCCGGTAACGACTTTCGCCGATGTTCTTCTTTCTGCTCGCTTACACCTTTCGCAAATCACGTTCCAAGCCCTCCAAGGATGAGAAAGCAGCGGAAGAAACAAGGAGAAGTGCTGTAGAACAAGCCGCATCCAACCAATCCTGTCGCAAGGCGCGCATCTCGACTTGTGGTGGTGGCTGGGTGCGAGGTCGAGCAGTGCTGAGTCACATCGACGGACGAAAATAAGTGAAATGACTGCTGGGGCCGACGGACGGATGGAAGTGCAGACCTCAAACGGAGACCTTCGGTGAATGTGACCCGTTAGATCATCATCGACAGACTTTTTGCAGCACATTGGATCACCAAGGCCGTTTTGCGTTCTGTGCAGCATCCGCGCTTCGAGATGGGGCAGGCTGACAGAATTATCAGAAACGCTTGCGACAAGCTGATTTGATTGGCGGCAGACAGGAGACGTGTATTGATCGTGGTGAAGTGGACTGCTACGAGGCAATTGACCAATCAGCTGAGAGGAAGCAATCACCTGAACGGGGCCAATCGTGCGAACGAAGTCCTGACAGCTCAAAGTTTCCGTTTTAGACACACTATTCCTCGTAAGCTTCGATTGCTTGCAAGGGAAGAACAATCCACTAACTAAAAAACTGGTCAACATGAATGAAACGAGCAATGTCAGCCCCGCCTCCTCTTTCCCTGGCGCCGGCCTCCTTTACCCTTCTTTCCTTTTGAAATCTTCTCACCATTCTCTACATTAGATTTCGCAGTCTCTGTATTACCCCTGGCATTCTCGGCTCCACCTGTTGTGCTAGCTGCAACTGTTTTCACCGCCAATCGCGGCTTCGTATCGAGCATCGAGCGCGGAAGAATGGAGACGGCACAGAAAGGAGGACCCCGTGCGAGTGGAACAATCTCAACCACCACTGCAAACTGTGAAAGAAAGGAAGGAAGGAAATAGAGAAAAGATGGAATGAAAAGGGAAAGAAAAGTAGAAGGAATGAAATGAAGGAAGAAAGAAATATGTTGGTGGTTGGTGAGGGTTGGGCTCCCCAGTTTAGAAAGCATACGAAGTGGATAACTTCTAGACATGGAAGACAGACGACGAACATACCCTTTGGATATGAGAGCTGTGCAGGTAAGATCACTTCTTAGCTGGAACCGAGGAGCCCCACAAAAAGGCATTTTTCTACTCAAGGCACTCGACAGTTGGTCCAGATAATCAACACTTCGTTTTTTTACTGTTTATGTCTTACCTCTGGGTTAGTCAAGTTAGCCGCAGCACCTCGCTTCCCAGAAGCTTCCTTCACGGCATCAGCCACAGTCCTAATCACAACATCACGACTCAACTCAACATCCTCCTCCCCTTCCCCCCTCTCCTCCTCCTCCACTCCCGCATTTCCTTCTCTCTGTCTCTCTGCCTTCTCCTTCTCTTTCTTGGCCGTCTCTTTGGCTGCAGCGCCTGAATCCTCTGCCCCTCGTTTCTTAAACGCAACTGCAAACTGGAGAGGACGGGGGGAAAGCTTGATTAGCTAGCTCCAAAGAGTTGGCTACATATAAGTGTTACCGTTCCGAGTTGACTTTAGAGTCGACTCAAAAGTCAACTCCAAAGAGTTGGCTACATATACGTGTTACCCTTCCGCTATCAGAACGATTTCCCACTGTTACTTTCTTCCTTTGGGTCGGCCAAAACAAGGGTAAATCAACAGAAGGATCATCTCACACAGAAAATGAGTAATTGTTGTTTGTCAGGTCTGAAACAATACCTGTATGGGAGGTAGAAGCTGCTGTGGTGCTGCTGGGGGTTCTGCTGCTGTCTCAGAACCATTCGAGCGTGGCTCCTCCACTCCCACTTCTGCTCCCCCTCCTGCTGCTGCTGCTGGTGTGGGTGTTGGTGTTGGTGATGATGTTCCTGCTGGTTTTGCTGGCGATGCTGCTGCAAAGTGATTGGTCAGCAAACGACAAACAGTGGTTGACAGGTGGCGCTTCGTGGTTGGGCACGTGGCCTGCACAGGGCAGATGCGCTGGCACCACCTGATTGGAGCGATAGAGGAGGGGGGTTTGGGAGATTTTTGGGGGGTGGGATAGGGGGGAGTGAGTGGGGCGGGTGCACAACTGTGGGACAGGTAGATGCGAGAGCAGGACAAGAACAGTGGGTAGAGGGGAGTGAGAGAGGAGATGAAAGGAGTGTGTGTGTGAGAGCATATGTGAAAGAATGGGGCTGGAGCAGCATTGAATGAGAAACAGGGGAAAAATTAAGAAGGGATGGAGATGGGAGGATGGATAAGGGGAGAAATAGGAGGGAAGGAGGGAGCGGAGAAGGAAGGGAGAGGGAGGGAGGGAGGGAGGGAGGGAGGGAGGGAGGGAGGGAGGGAGGGAGGGAGGGAGGGAGGGAGGGAGGGAGGGAGAAAGGGAGGGAGGGAGGGAGGGAGGGAGGGAGGGAGGGAGGGAGGGAGGGAGGGAGGGAGGGAGGGAGGGAGGGAGGGAGGGAGGGAGGGAGAAAGGGAGGGAGGGAGGGAGGGAGTGAGGGAGGGAGGGAGGGAGGGAGGGAGGGAGGGAGGGAGGGAGGGAGGGAGGGAGGGAGGGAGGGAGGGAGAAAGGGAGGGAGGGGATAAGCTAGCAAAAGTGGGAGAGAGTTGAAGGTAGAGAACAGAAGGGGAGCAAGGCAGACGTGACTGGCAGAAGGGGAGAGTAGCAATGTATTATAGTTTGAAGTGAGTGGAGAGGAGTGGCGTGGAGTGGGACACTCACTTGAGGCCGCTCCTCTTCTTCTCATTGATGTCCTTCAGAATCTGAAACGCTACTTTGAGGCACCTCATAACTCAGAAGCAAGGAGAGGCAGGGAGCCGAGGGGGGTTGGAGTGGGGTGGAGTGGAGTGCAGTGGAGTGCAGTGGTTGCAACACTCACTTGAGGCCGCTCCTCTTCTTCTCATTGATGACCTTCAGAATCTGCCCGACAACATCCACAGGGCAGGGCACCTCGCTGCCCGGCACACATTTTTCCTTCTCGGGCAGCGCCAGAAAAGTTATTCCCATGCTGCCCAGCTTGACCGCCCCTAGCCCGGCCTTAAGAGCGTCTTCCGCTGCACTCGCATCCTGCTCTGCCTTGCTAACCTTCATTGCCTTACCCTCCCCTGTCTCCATAACTGTCTTTTCACAATCTTCTGCCGCTGCCTTATCCTCCTTATCCTTTGCACCATCCTCCCCCTCTTCCACTGTGCTTCGCTCTGCATTACCTCCCTCCTTCGTTCCCCCTTCCTCTTTCCCCTCCTCCTCCCCCTCCCCTTTCCCCTCTTCCCCCTTCAGCTTCCCCTCCTCTCCCCTCTCCTCTCCCGTCTCTACTCTCTGTCTCTTGGCCGCAGCACTCCCTTCAAGCCCCACATTCGAATCAGCTCCGTGTTTCCCCTCCTCCGCTGCCTCTAGCTCTTCCCCTTCAGTCACGCTCGCACACACTGCAGGCAGGTACTGGCACGGGGGAGAGGGGGCGGAGGGGGGGGTGGTAGCGGGGGAGGGACGGGTAAGTGAGAGAAGACTCATTATATTTTGAGTCGGACTCGAAAATTGGAGAGAGGAGGGGGAGGGGGGGGGGGTGAAGGGGGGGGGAAGGGGGGGGGGGGGGGAAGGGGTTAGCGGGGGAGGGACGGGTAAGTGAGGGAAGACTCATGATATTTTGAGTCGGACTCAGAAATGGGCACAACTTAAGAAATTGCTAGATTAGTTGAGAATGTACGGACGTAAACAGTAAATGCAGTGCAGTGCAGCAAAGAAACCTTTCAGGAACCCTTATGGAAGTATACCTTAGGGAGGATGGAAAGCGCTTCTGATGTGGCGCTCTTCTCTCGGCCTGAACACACGCCCAGCACACGTCCAGCACACGCCAGGTATGCAGCAGACACACGCCAGGCACGCAATTCAGGTATGCATACATCGAGCAGTGCCGCACACACCAACAAGAATCAACGCTTACGAAGTTAAGTTTTGAGGCGCCTCAATTCAGGCATGCATACATTAAGCAGTGCCGCACACACCATCAAGAATCAACGCATACAAAGTTATGTATGCTGGTAACGGGAGAACGAACTGAATGCAATAAAGAAAGGTGGGCGATATAGCTTGCCGATGATTGTTTAGTTTTTTTTTAAACTAAATCTGTAAGGGACAGGGTGAGCACGTACGGAAAGCGCACGTGATCAGAAACCCTTGAATCCCGCCACCATTTCCGGATCGGAGTAGCTCCTCCCGCCGGTAGTCGAATCGTGCCATCTTCAGCACCCCCGCGTGTCGATCCCACGGTGCCACCTCCCAATCGCTCTTAACCGTTGGATCCTGACTGACATTCTCCGCCGCTTTCGACGCGGATTCCTCCGCGGCAGCCGGCGCAGCAGACGCCATGGAATTCGCCTGCTGATTCCGAAAGGCGGCCCGGCTTTGGAAAGTCAAGGATGGCTGCGCGGTGCGAGAAATTAAGGACCAGTGGGACTCGAAGGTAAGGGTATGGAAGGGTATGGAGGTTATATGGGTAGGAAAGGGAAGCAGGGAAAGCAGTGACGACGGCAATCCCAAGTGGGGCAGAGCGGTGAGAGCCAGAAAAATGGGGCTCATTCGCGATTGTAGGTGTTCGTAATCATACCGACATTAGAACCGATAACGACTCCGGCCTTAAGTATCCATTACCTCTTTGTTTACGAAAACAAATGTATTTATTTCACAGATGATCTAGCTCAAAGAAGTTTAAACTGAGCAACAATTACACTCTACCGATTCTAAATGAAGTTTTGACATTACGTTACTCCTATTTCAACAAGATGTAGCTATGCACTAGGTTTACGCAACCTAATACAAGTAACCTCCTACTTGAAGTCATTACCATCAAGAACAGAGTTCGGACTACACCCCAAAATACCATCCTCCATAGCTTTATCCATCGACTCATCCTTAGATGATAACGACAGCCGAGATGCGCCACCAACACCAACCACGTTCTTCATGCAACGTGCCACAGGAACCGGGGAAGATGGAGCAGAAAATATCATGAACCTGCCCCTGCGCTGTGATTGGCTGGCTCTTACCTCGGTCAACAAGCACTGATCCGGGAACGCACCAGGGGATGCAAACGAAACACCTGAAGGGTCTGACAGGAAAGCTACAGGACTTGACGGCGAGTGTAAGGGAGCTGGAGAGGAAGGAGATGTAGAAAGAATGGTGGTAGTTTTGGTGCTTTCTCTGCCGCTGCTGCCTTCTCTGTCGAAGCTGGTGGTCACTCGAAGTCTGCCGCCTGCCTTGCTGCCTGCTCTACTACTGCCTCCACTGCTGCTGCACAGTCTCCTATTGACACCATCAGAGCTACTGATAGTGTGGCAGCTGGAGCTTGGTTGTGTGGCTGTCCCCTTGTTGTGCTGCTGCTGCTGCTGCTGCTGCTGCTGCTGCTGCTGCTGCTGCTGCTGCTGCTGCTGCTGCTGCTGCTGCTGCTGCTGCTGCTGCTGCTGCTGCTGCTGCTGCTGCTGCTGCTGCTGCTGCTGCTGATGGTCGTGATGGTGGTGTTGGTGGTGCGGCCGCTGGTGGAAATGTTGCTGCTGAAGCTGGTGAGGGTGCTTCTCGGGTTGGTGCTTGTGAAAATGTGCCTGCTGCTGCTGATGGTGATGGTGATGCTGCCAATGCGCTTTCTGATTCACCTCCTCCTGCTTCCAATGCTGCCTCTGGTATAAAGGCCACGGCATATGTTGCTGGTGATGCTGATGCTGATGCTGATCCACGTGCTCACCTCCCGCCCGTTTGAACCATGGATGATGCACGATGCGACTCGATCCAATCCGTCGATTGGGATCCACATCCAGCATCCGACGGATGAGATCCTTTGCCTCGTGCGAAATCAACGGCCAGTGACTGCCCGTCTCCAAATCCACCTCTCCCCTGCAAACTGCAGCAAATACTGCATTCTGGTTTTTACCAAAAAACGGTAGTGTACCAGAAAGGCAAGTGTACATTATCACACCTAAACTCCACACATCCACCTCGAGACCATACTCCCTCCCTCTGACAGTCTCAGGAGCCATGTAGAATGGGCTCCCCACCAACCCATGCAGCCTGCATCCTCGTTTTAAGACTCTCGCTAACCCGAAGTCAGCAATCTTAACTGTGAGGAAACTTGCTGTTAATGAGGCTGCTGATAACGAGGGCGGGGAGGGTTCAGCGGTTGAAGTTGATTCAGAGTCCATGCGGTCGGAGAAGTGCGTGGTGGAGAGGTTGCTGTCCGAGTAACGGGATGTGCTTGTAAGGAGGATGTTTTCGGGCTTCAAATCTCGGTGCACTACTCCCATCTCGTGCATCCTTGCCACAGCTGTTGCGAGTTGCCTGGGAGACGGGGCATGCATGAACGCGGGAAAAGGGAAAAAAGTGGGGGAGAAGAGGAACGGGGAGAAGGAAAGCGGTGGTGGAGGGGAAAGGGGAGAGAGGGGAGGAGGGAATTGGGAGTGGGGAGGGCGGAAGAGGCGTACAGATATTGCTGGGTGTTGGAGAGCTGATGAGTAAAGTGGGTGGGGGTCCGATGAGGGAACTAATGAAGGAAAAGGCCGAGGAGCAGGTGGGCGAGAGACCAGCAAACAAAGACAGCAAAGAAAGAGGCTGTGATGTAACGGAATGGACGAAGACAGACCAGGTGAACGAAGCACAGTATTTTTGAGAATTCTCAAAAATACGGGATTGGAGAGGAAGGAGGGGAAAGGAAGAGCAAGCGGGCCAAGGTCCGGGAGTTGGAGATTGGGGGGGAAGAGGAAAAGGGAGAGGCGGGGACGAGAGCGCGAGTCTGGGAGGGTTGGGGTGGAGGACATTGCATGGAGTAAGGGAACCGACACACCTCATTATGTCGGCAGTTTGTCGTTCATCCAGCCTCTCACATCGTGCCACGTGTTCAAACAAATCTCCTCCCTCGCAGTGCTCCATCACCATGTGCACTGCAGACTCGTCCTCGAAAACATCCACCAATCGCACAAACCCCTTGTCAGGCCCACTCCTGTATGCATCATTTTTGCCTTCGTTATGATATTTGTTTTTCACTTTTGTACTGCTAATGTCTTGTACACTCCGGTTTGTACACCCACCCCCGCGACCGTCTGCCTCGCTGTTGTGATGACGGTTGGCGGTGCTCTGATCCGTTTCAGTCACGTCCGTTATCCGCACAAACTTCAAACACCGAGCTGCTGACACACCCCGCCCATAAATCTCCGCTTTCTCCCCGTGTTCTCTCACTCCATTCCGCCGCTCCCCCTCTACCTCGCGCATTGCTTCCCCCGCTCCTTCTCCGCGCGCAGTAACGTCCCAGCCTTCGTTGCGCCCTGCTTCCGCCTCTTGCCTCGCGTCCTGTTGTGTCTCATCTCCTTCCCCGCGCGTTTCTTGCGCCTGCTTTTTCCTCTGCGCTGCTTGCAACAGCAGCGGAATCAGCACCTCCGCGCGCAACTCGCGCATGGCCTCGGGAGTCTGCTGAACGGGGAATACGGAGAGGAAAAAGCGGAGTGGAAAGGGAAAAGGGTAATAGAACGAAATGGGGGAAGCAAAAGAGAAGAAGGAAGTTTTGAAAAGCCACCAAGCGCGATTGAATGACTTCACCAGCCCTTTGGTTATGAAATGACAGTAGAAAACAACTGAACCGAAACGCACTGCTATTTGCGACTTGAGAACGGTCTTGCATGCGAACTTCTCCCCTGTTCGCTTGTCTTCGCAGAGCCGCACCACCCCGAAATGGCCTCGCCCCAGCTCCTTTCCGAGCCTAAACCGAGCCTCCAGGCTCGGCTTCCCCTGCTCCGGTTCCCCCCAGTCACTCCGCCCACAGACCCGCCTTCCGCAACCTCCGCCGTTTCCGTCACTGTCGCCCTTCCCTCCGCTGCTGCAGCTTCCTGCGCACTGGCCGTCTCCGCCACATTCGTTGAAAGAGCCGACGCCGCCATATTCCACGCTGCAGATATCGCCGCGTTCGGCGCCGCCAGCCCGACAGTGGCGGCGTGCTTCGCGGAGTAGATCGTACACGTGGCAGCGTATGGCGGATCCATCATCCCCGGCTGGCTCCACGGGCAGGGAGCGAGCGGCTTGAGCGCTGACATGGATGATGTCCCCGAACACGTGGAATGATGAATCTTGCTGACGTGGCTGTACGGTTTTGCTGAGCTCGTTTTTGTCACAGTCGTTTTTATCACGCGAAGGTACTTCGCCCACGGCCTGAGAGTCTCCCCTGCGGCTCTGGCTCCTTCGACTGGGTTGACCAGGTTGACCGTATTGACCGGTTCCAGCGGGCTGACCAGATTGACCGCATTGACTTGTTCCAGCGGGTTGACTTGGTTGACTGGTCGAGCCGGCTCGCCGCCTGTCTGCCGTGGCGTCAGGCGCAGCCATTTCATGTCGCGGCGGCACGGACAGACATTAAAGTAAAGAGCGGCATCAAACGAGCCGCATTCACTGAGATTGCGGCGCGATATACTACAGAAATTCTATATAATTCGAAGATTTGCGGGGACAGGGTTAAGGAGAAATTGCACGAGTGATGAGTCGCAGCAGTCACGCGAGTGGGTGGATATCTACGATGCTGAGAGATGCGACTGTTGAGAATTCTCTAGAGAGGTGCGCAGGGAGGAAAGCCATGGATGGAAACGCCTCTTTGCCACCGAGAAGCATAGGAAAGCCATGGCTGGCAAGGGGACTGCTATTCACGGGAAAGTATTGCGTAATTTGGGCCTAGTATGGTACTTATTGTGGAACCGTCTCCTGCGAATCGAGCTTCGCCCAGAAATCCTATCAGTTGGAGTGGTGCGGACTTGGACTACCCCGCTTAAACTAACAGATTAATACAGGTCGGAAGTGGGTCCGCCACGCTGTAAAAAAACGGCCCGTTTTCTGCCAATGTGACAGGAGGGAGACTGTGATTAGTATAAGGCTGCTGCCTGGATCCTGGCGAAGTCTGAGGCTAATGAAACAGCCGACTGACCCTGCGAGTGGGCTTATTGTCCTGTGGCGTCAGTACTGCGTGCTATTGCGCTTGCAGAGGTAGTGGTCAGGTTGAGGGGAAAATGGCTGGACAACGCACTCTAGAGGAAGAAAGGCGGCCGTCTTTTCCAGGCCGTCGATGTTGTCGCAGAGGTCCAGTTACTGCGATGTATGTGTATACTACTTTTACGAGTCGCACGACGGCGTAATACGACACTGTTCGCGTGTCGGCCGGAGGTCAGTGGACCGTCGTCCTTCTCCTCACCCACCCTTATAATCGCTACGCAATGAACATTTATTGTTTCGGAAGGTGGTTGTGCGAATGACGAGAGCACAAGAGTCGAGACAGGACGCTGCAAGTGCAGGTTGTGAGCAAAACCAAAGCGACAAGAAGACTTGTGTGAAGTGATGCCTCCGTTGGTGGTTTGGTGGAGGTAACCAGCCAGAAAGTTCGGTTTTGCTTCCGATTGCCAAGGCTCCCTTGGCTGAGATTTGCAGCGCGGTGCGCGAAGGGGTAACGGATGCTGGACCTGAATCGTTTTACCTTGGCGCAGTGCGTTTTTGTACATTTATGTGCGGTTTTGTGCGATAGTTTCCTTACCCAGCCAAACGAACATCCAAGCAGATGAATTTTGTGAGCGGGTGGACAAATCCCGCCCTGCATGTTGATTCAGCTGCACCATTTCGAGAATTCTGTCCAGCACGCAGGGCAACAGCAAGTGGAGGGCGACACAAACGAAGAACGCGATTCGAAATTCGCGCCTCTAGTCAATAGCGCCAAAACTAGTTTGTTCCAATCTTGCTTTGCCACGTGTGTTGATGTGCAAAGACTAGTGGGATGTGACAAACACGAACATGTGATCATCACAACATTTGAGTGCCTTCTAGATGTATTAGGTACACTTCCATAAGCCCATTAAACGAGTTAACGTCATTCCAAATAGTTAACTTTGCCTTGTCACATTCTTCCCCAAAACCCATTCTTCTCTCTAAATCATTTGAATGCTGATTCGAACAGGATGTGGAATAATCACTGACCACTATCAGCCTAAGCTTGACAATTGACACTGAATGCTGAGTTTAAGCACACTTCTGCCCACTGCAGACAGCAAATGAGACTACACCGGAAATGCGACGGCCAGCCTATGTTTGAGAGAGTCGCCATACAGGCGCAAACAAAATCCCATTCCGCACTTGAATTCAAGTTGACTTAAAGTTGATGCATAAGTCCCATCATGCAGAAGCATCATTCTAACAGAAGCCTGATCATGCATCAGGTTCTCAAAGCTCTTGATCGCCTTATCAGCATCCGCACTTGAAAGCAAAGAACGGTATCAGTTGTACACAAGGTCTTATCAAGGAGAGCTTTGAGTAGACTCATAGGTCACTTCACACAACAGCATCATCACGCAGAGGCTTCATCAAGCATCAGCTTCTCAAAGTTCTTTTTCGCCTCGTCAATGCTCGCTAGCTCAGCCGCAAGCTTGGCAGCCTTGCTGGCATTCTCCTCTCGCACGTTTGATGGCACCTTCTCCTCGTACCCCGGCACACCCATCTTCTTGGCCAGAGCCTCTTGCAGCCTGGTGGTGGGTGAAACGACAACAGAGAGACAATGCAGAGTACTACAATGAGCGCCTGGAAAACAACCTTCTCCTCGTACCCCAGCACACCCATCTTCTTGGCCAGAGCCTCCTGCAGCCTGGTGATGGGTGAAACGACAACAAAGAGACAATGCAGAGTACTACAGTGAGCGCCTGGAAAACAACCTTCTCCTCGTACCCCGGCACACCCATCTTTTTGGCCAGAGCCTCTTGCAGCATGGTGGTGGGTGAAACGACAACAGAGAGACAATGCAGAGTACTACTGTGAGCGGCTAGAATTCAACCTTCTCCTCGTACCCCGGCACACCCATCTTCTTGGCCAGAGCCTCCTGCAGCCTGGTGGTAGGTGAAACGACAATAAAGAGACAATGCAGAGTACTACAGTGAGCGCCTGGAAAACAACCTTCTCCTCGTACCCCGGCACACCCATCTTCTTGGCCAGAGCCTCCTGCAGCCTGGTGATGGGTGAAACGACAACAGAGAGACAATGCAGAGTACTACAGTGAGCGGCTGGAATTCAACCTTCTCCTCGTACCCCGGCACACCCATCTTCTTGGCCAGAGCCTCCTGCAGCCTGGTGATGGGTGAAACGACAACAGAGAGACAATGCAGAGTACTACAGTGAGCGGCTAGAATTCAACCTTCTCCTCGTACCCCGGCACACCCATCTTCTTGGCCAGAGCCTCCTGCAGCCTGGTGGGTGGAAGAAAACACATGCATTTCACAACATGAACTAAGGGTACCAATTCGTTTGCCAGTCTCCTCTCGCACATTCGCTGGCAGCCTGGCACCTTCTCCACGTATCCCAGCTGCCCGGCACACCCAATCATTCACACGCGCTTCCTGGAGTCTGGTGGGCAGAAGACAAAAGCTGCGTATTTTTTAGTCGACTCGAACGCCACCTTGGTGGTTTAAAACGGCTACAAGAAAAGACAATGTGAAGTGTAGGGAAATCTGAAGAGGGGACTCAAAAGCGACAAGTGGGAAAGCGAGAAACTCACTTGGCGGTTTCGCCCTTGCGCTTGCCCAGCTTCTGTGCCTCCGCCTTGAGGTCCACGATGCCTCTCAGCAGCACTGGCAGGCCCTCATCCACTCACACGACTCAAGAGAGACACGTGGCAAGCAAGAGGAGGTACTCACTTGGCTGTTTCGCCCTTGCGCTTGCCCAGCTTTTGTGCCTCCGCCTTGAGATCCACCAAGCCTCTCAGCAGCACGTGCAATGCCCCGACAATATGCTCACACCAGCAAGGCCCCCTGTGCCCCGACAGTACTTACTTGGCTGTTTCGTTCTTGCGCTTGCCCAGCTTCTGCGCCTCCGCCTTTGCATCCACCATGCCTCTCAGCAGCACTGGCAGGCCCTCATCCACTCACACGACTCAAGAGAGACACGCGGCAAGCAAAGGGAGGGCACTCACTTGGCGGTTTCGCCCTTGCGCTTGCCCAGCTTCTGTGCCTCCGCCTTGAGGTCCACCATACCTCTCAGCAGCACTGGCAGGCCCTCATCCACTCACACGACTCAAGAGAGACACGTGGCAAGCAAGAGGAGGTACTCACTTGGCTGTTTCGCCCTTGCGCTTGCCCAGCTTCTGTGCCTCCGCCTTGGCATCCACCATCCCCCTCAGCAGCACGTGCACTGAAAGACTCTCATCCACTATCGCCACTGCACACCCTGCTGGGGCTGATTCCTCTGCTGGGAGCACCTGAAAGGGAAGAGAAAAAGGGGTAGAGGGGAGAGGAAAGGAGCTGTGTGGGGCAGGTTGTAGCAGCAGTATCAGCAGCAGCAGCAGCATGACCTCACCACCACCATTCCCCTCAGTAGCACGTGCACTGACAGACTCTCATCCACTATTGCCTTAGCACACCCTGCCGGGGCTGATTCCCGAGCACCTGTGATGAGAAGGAACCGAGTAGTGGGGAAAGGGAAGAAATCGTGGGAGGTTGCAAAAGCAGCACCAGCAGCAACAGAAGAACCATCCCCCTCGCCAACACGTGCATGGACGGGCTCTATCCACTATGGCCACTGCACACCCTGCTGGGGCTGATTCCCCTGCTGGGAGCACCTGTGATGGGAGAGAGGCGAGGGAAGAGGGGACAGAGGAGACGGAGAGTGGCGAGAGAGAGGCAGGTTGACGCAGCATCCACCATGCATCTGCAGCATCCACCATGCATCTACAGCATCCACCATGCATCTGCAGTATCCACTTACCTGCAGCTCTGCGAGTGTGGCAAGGGTCTTGATCTCCCCACAGCAACTGTCACAGCAGCAGTGGCCGCCTCAGACTTGTCAAACTCATATGCTATAGTCTGTGTAGGCTGTAGTGGGGTGGACAATATGGGGTACAACACTTTTAGGTTTTCCAACTTGTACCCACCTGCTTGCTAGTTCATTCATCCCTCGTTCTTTCACATGATATAGAGCAGGTTCCCTAGTGGGAACGTTTCCTAGGGCCCACTGAATATCGATTTTTTTTTCCTGCCCGGAGCGCGCTTTGCCCCTGCCCGAGTCGCGCCCCGTGTGCCTACCCTCCCGTCGCGTCCCTTGCCCTTAGTGGCCCGTCGCGCTCCCCTACGGCCCCGTAGCGGCCCCTCTCACGGTCTCTCACGGCCCTTTGGGGCCCCTTCAGGCCCCTCGTGGCCCCTACGGCCCAGTAGCGGCCCCTCTCACGGCCTCTCACAGCCCCTCTCACGGCCCTTCGCAGCCCCTTCAGGCCCCTCGTGGCCCCTTCGTGGCCTCCCTTCGCGCCCCCCTTCGCGGCCCCTTCACGGCCCCTTCACGGCACCTTCGCGGCCCCTTTGCGGCCCCTTTGCGGCCCCTAATGGCCCCTTTGCAGCCCCTTCACGGCCCCTTCACGGCCCCCTCGCGGCCCCCTCACGGCTCCCTTCGCGGCCCCTTCGCGGCCCCGCCCCGTCGCCAGACGCGACCCCGCCCCATCGCCAGTCGCGGCCCCGCCGCCTCGCCCCCGCCTCGTCGCGTCGCCCCTGTGGGACCCGTGAGGCGCGGCTCCTGTGCGTCGCGACGCCCTTGCGGGACCCGCGTGGCATCATCCCTGCCCGCCGCGGCGCCCTGCCCTAACCCGCGCCCTGGAGCAGCCGCCACTGCAGCAGCCGCCCCTGGAGCAGCCGCCACTGCAGCAGCCGCCCCTCGAGCAGCCTCCCCTGCAGCAGCCGCCCCTGGAGCAGCCGCCCCTGAAGCAGCCGCCCTTGGAGCAGCCGCCCCTGAAGCAGCCACCCCTGGAGCAGGCGCCCCTGCAGCAGCCGCCCCTGGAGCAGCCGCCCCTACAGCAGCCGATCCTGGAGCAGCCGCCACTGCAGCAGCCGCCCCTGGAGCAGCCGCCACTGCAGCAGCCGCCCCTGGAGCAGCCACCACTGCAGCAGCCGCCCCTGGAGCAGCCGCCCCTGCAGCAGCCGCCCCTGGAGCAGCCGCCACTGCAGCAGCCGCCCCTGGAGCAGCCGCCCCTGCAGCAGCCGCCCCTGGAGCAGCCGCCACTGCAGCAGCCGCCCCTGGAGCAGCCTCCCCTATAGCAGCCGCCCCTGGAGCAGCCGCCCTTGAAGCAGCCGCCCCTGGAGCAGCCACCCCTGCAGTAGCCGCCCCTGGAGCAACCGCCTCTGCAGCAGCCGCCCCTGGAGCAACCGCCTCTGCAGCAGCCGCCCCTGGAGCAGCCACCCCTGCAGCAGCCGCCCCTGGAGCAGCCGCCCCTGCAGAAGACGCCCGTGGAGCAGCCGCCACTGCAGAAGCCGCCCTTGGAGCAGCCACCCGTGCAGCGGCCGCCCCTGGAGCAGCTGCCCCTGCAGCAGCCGCCCCTGGAGCAGCCGCCTCTGGAGCGGCCGCCCCTGCAGCAGCCGCCCCTGCAGGAGCCGCCTCTCCAGCAGCCCCCCCTGGAGCTGCCGCCCCTACAACTGCCGCCCCAGGAGCAGCCGCCCCTGCAGCTGCCGTGGAGCCCTCGCCCTACAGTGGTAGCGGCCTCGCCGTTGCCGCCGTCGTACGCCTGCCCTTCTCGCCACTGGTGAGCACTGCCCTGCCCGTACTGCTGTTATTGCTACTCTTGCTGCTAATGCTCTTTCTACTGCTACTGCTGCTCCTAGCGTGGCCAGATGCAGCTCCCCCGCTGTCCGCGTGAGTCCCTCACCCCCCAACAGCTTCGTGAGTGGTACGCTAGTTGGGGTTATAGGGGTGGCCGCACTGCGACTACTGCTATTGCTACTGCGGCTACCACTGCTCCTGCTGCTCCTGGCGGTGGCCAGAAGGAGCTCCAGCGATGTCCGCGTGAGTCCCTCACGCCCCAGCAGCTTCGTGAGTGGTACTCTACTTGGGGTTGTCAAGGTGGCCGTAGTGGGAGTCGTCCTGGAGTGAGTAGTTTGGCAGCTGCTTGTAGTGGCTAGGTGCAGCTGTAGCGTCGTCCGTGCGCGGTCCTTTCGCCCCACCAGCTTCGTGAGTGGTACGCTCAGCGTGGCGGGTCACGGGGTACTGCTCGCTGTCCGTACCTCATTCGCACAGGTACTCGGACTGGTAAGCCTTGCGGGACGTTTGGTCACGCAGAGTCCCGCTGCTTCGCCCGTCTGAGCGATGCTTGGCGTACGGAGTTTGGCAACGCGGCTGAGCTCCCCGACTGGGTGGAGCTGCTTAGGCTGCGGGTAGATATCTACACTCTTGACTATGATGCTTTCCTCACTGCCATGTATGCATTGCCTACTAGTGATGAGGGTGACTATTACCTGTGTGTTCCGCCTGACCCGAACATTGAGGCTGCTGCTCTAGGTGCTGGTGAGGCTGCTGCTCTAGGTGCTAGTGCGTCTACCGCCCCAGGTGCTGGTGAGTTTGCTCTCTCAGGTACCACGTCGGCTCAGGCCTTACACACCTTCACCCTTGACTCGGATGCTTCCCGCTCCTTCTTTCGAGACTGCACCACGCTTACGCCGCTTAGTCGGCCAGTTGCGGTCTCCCAGGCGGACCCCTCTGGGGGTCCTGTCCTGGCTAACTTCTCCACTGTCTTGCCGTGTCCGGCAGCCCCCTCTAGCACCCTGTCAGGTCTCTACCTCCCCTCGTTCTCTACGAACTTGGTGAGTGGTGCTGATCTACAGGATGGGGGTTTGACCAGTTCACTCCTGCGAGTCAGCGGGTGACCCACTGTACGTGTGCTCGGACGGGCCGACACTTGGCCACGTTTACCTGTCGGCCGGGGTCGAGCCTTTACACCCTTACTGCTGAGTCTCCTCCGGTTGCTGAGTCTGGTCAGGTAGCTGCAACAATTCAGGTGTTTGCTGCAGCGTCCAGGTCTGGTCCTGAGTCTGCTCCCTGCTCGTGTCGTCTCCTATCTCACCAGACTCTCCTTTGGCACCACCGCCTTGGTCTCCCCTCCCTGCCTCGTCTCCGAGGCATGGCCTCCCGTGTCTTTGTCTCTGGTCTCCCCCGGTCTCTCCCTCCCCTACCTCCGGGGCCTGCCCCTACCTGTGTCCCCTGCGTCAAGGGGCGACAGCGCGCCGCCCCTCACTCCTGCGAGTTTCCTCCGACAGAGGCTCCGCTGCAGACTCTTCACATGGACGTGTGGGGCCCCGCCCGTGTCCGTGGACAGGGGCACGAGCGTTACTTCCTGTTGGTGGTTGACGACTACTCGCGTTACACCACGGTCTTCCCCTTGCGCAGCAAGGGTGACGTCACTGAGGTGTTGATCAACTGGATCCGCGCAGCTCGTCTCCAGCTCAGAGAGAGTTTCTGCTCGGACTTTCCTGTTCTCCGTTTGCACTCTGACAGAGGCGAGAAGTTTTCCTCTGCCCTTCTGGGAGCCTTCTGTCGTGCACAGGGCATCCGGCAGACCTTCACGCTTCCGGCCTCTCCACAGCAAAATGGGATTGCTGAGCGCTGTATTGGCATGGTTATGGACGTGGCTCGTACGTCCATGATCCATGTGGCTGCTCCCCATTTTCTGTGGCCGTTTGCGGTTAAGTACGCAGCGCATCAGATCAACGTTCAGCCCCAAGTCTCCTTGCCAGAGACCTCCCCCACCTTGCGGTGGATGGGGAAGGTTGGCGATGCGTCTGCGTTTCGTGTCTAGGGATCTTGGGCGTTTGTCCGCAACTTGTCTGCGGACAAGCTGTCCCCCCGTGCTGTTCCCTGCGTCTTCCTTGGCTTCCCCACTGACGCGCCTGGTTGGCAGTTTTACCACTCGACCTCGCGCCATGTTTTGTCCTTCTAGGACGTCACCTTTGACGAGTCGGTGCCTTACTACCGTCTCTTCCCCTACTGCACTACGCCCCCCCCCCCCCGCCACCGCTCTTCCTTGCGCCAGGTCCTCCCCAGGTAGACCCCCTCCCTCCTCAGGGTCCTGCCCCGTCAGTTGTGTCCCAGGTAGACGCAGTCGAGCCTGTCGAGGTAGCTGTTGACTCTGGTGCTGCTGAGCCTGGGGGTGCTGAGTCTGGGGGTGCGGAGCCCGGGGGTGCGGATCCTGGGAGTGCTAGGCCTAGGGGTGCTGAGCCTGGGGTTGCGGAGCCTGGGGGTGCTGGGTCTGCTTGTGTGACCTTTGGGGGTGCTGGGTTTGGGGCCCCTTCGGGTGCTTCGTCGAGGCGGGAGCTACCCTCTCCACAAGAGCTCCGCGAGTGGTTTGCCCGGCGCTGGAGCCGTGCAGCTGGAGCTGGAGGTGTTGCGGTTACTGCTGACCTTGGGGTCGGCACTAGAGTTACTCGAGCCACTGGTCCTGGAGGTGCTCGTATTGGCGGTACTGGAGGTGCTGGGCTTGGGGGTGCTGCTGAGGCTGCTGTAGCTGACGGTCGTGCTAAAGGTGGTGCTGGTGGAGCTAGAGCTGCTGGAGCTGGAGCTACTGGGGGTGTTGGCGCTGGAGGTGCTGCTAGCGCTGGTGCGTTGGAGGGTGCTGGAGTTGGCGCTGCTGGAGCTGGAGGTGCTGCTAGCGCTGGTGCTGCCGCTGGGAGTACTGGTGCTGTCCCTGCTGGTTGTGGAGGCGCTGCATGGTCGCGGCCGTACTTCGTTCCGCTCCTTGAGCAGGTTCTTGGTCTCCCGCCCTCAACTGGTTTTGCTCCTCCCTTAGAGTGTCCACAGCCTGTCTAGACACAGTCACATTTACAGCCCGCCTCCCCCCTGCCTGCTCCTTCTCCCTACACTGCTCCTACTAGAGGTCTTGCTGAGCGACGTGAGCCTGCGTCTCGTCCTGCGTCGCCTGTTTGTGCTGCTCGCACCATAAGTCGTGCTCCGCGTCCGCGTCCTCCTGCGGTCCCCGGCACACACCAGATGGCGCTGCATCCTTCCACTGCTCCTCTGCGTGTCCCGTTGCTGTCTCCTCCAGAGTCCTCTCTTCCTCTTCTTGCTGACCCCGGGTCTGACTCTCTTCGTGCTGCAAGTCCTACTGTCACGCGTCTCCTGGCTACTGCTGTCACTGACCCTTCCTTTGAGTCCACTGCTGCGTCTGCCCTAGTTGCTGAGCTTGTCTACTTTGCTGTTCGCTGTCGTCTAGACTACGCCGCTAGTCTTGTTGCTGAGTCTGAGTCTGTTTGTCCTCCGTCCGTCGGGGGTGAGTGTGCTCTTAGCACGGACGTCCTTGAGGATAGGCAGGAGGAGTTCAAGCTCTTTGTTGCTGCTTTGCCCAATCTCGTGTCCACGCTGATTGCCCCTGAGGGCGAACCAGATGCACCAGACATCCCGACTCCTCGATCGTACGCTGAGGCGATCGAGGGTCCCTACTCCTCTCAGTGGCAGTCAGCTATGGAGTCAGAGATGGCTTCCTGGAAGTCCACAGGCACCTACGTTGACGAGGTTCCCCCACCTGGGGCGAACATCGTCAGTGGCATGTGGATTTTCAGGGTGAAGCGGTCGCCGGGCTCTCCGCCTGTATTCAAGGCGCGTTACGTGGCTCGAGGCTTCAGTCAGCGGCAGGGAGTTGACTACTTTCAGACCTTCTCTCCCACCCCAAAGATGACCACTCTTTGAGTGCTGCTGCACATAGCCGCTCAGCGCGACTACGAGCTTCACTCTCTTGACTTCAGCACTGCTTTCCTGCAGGCAGCCTGCATGAGGAGATCTGGCTGCGCCGCCCACCTGGCTTCACTGGGTCGTTTCCTTCTGGTACCCATTGGAGCCTCTGGCGGCCAGTCTACGGTCTCCGCCACGCGCCCCGTGAGTGGCACGACACACTGAGGACTACGCTTGCGGCTCTTGGGTTTGCTCCTTCTACTGCTGACCCGTCGCTGTCTCTACGCACCGACACCTCTTTGCTGCCGTTCTACATCCTTGTGTACGTCGACGACTTGGTCTGTTCTACTGCTGACACTGCAGGACTCGCCCACGTGAAGTCGGAGCTGTAGAAGAGACACACGTGCACAGACCTGGGTGAACTGCGCAGCTACCTTGGCTTGCAGATCACCCGGGACAGAGCACAGCGCACCATTACCCTGACTCAGTCACACATGGTGCAGCAGGTCCTTCAGCGCTTCAACTTCACGTACTCCTCGCCGCAGGCCACTCCTTTGTCTACTCGCCACTCGCTCTGAGCTCTACCTTCGGATGAGTCCGTAGAGCCGAGTGGCCCGTACCCAGAGCTTGTTGGCTGCCTCATGTACCTGATGACCTGCACTCGACCTGACCTTGCATACCTTCTTAGCATCTTGGCACGCTTTGTTGCTCCTGGGAGACACCGACCAGAGCACATGGCTGCAGCGAAAAGGGTGTTGCGCTACTTGTGCAGTACGTCGGGCATGGGGCTAGTGCTTGGAGGGCGACGTCAAGTAGTCCTCACAGGTCACGCAGACGCTTCTTGGGCTGACGACCAGGCTACGCAGCGGTCGTCACAGGGTTACACCTTAAGCCTTGGTTCCGGCTCTTTTTCATGGCGGTCTACCCGCTCGTCTTCTGTTCTTGGCTCCAGCTGTGAGGCTGAGATCTACGCGGGGGCCATGGCTGCACAGGAGCTTCGCTGGCTCACCTATCTGCTGACTGACCTAGGAGAGCCGCCTTGTTCTCCTCTAGTTCTGTACGTAGACATAAAGGCCATGCTGGCCTTGTGTCGGGAGCACAGACTCGAGCACAGAACAAAGCAAATTGCGCTTCGCTACTTCCTTGCTCGTGAGCTGCAACAGCATGGTCAGCTGCGCCTTGCTTACGTGGCCTCTGAGGCCAACACTGCTGATATCTTTACCAAGGCACTTCCGCCTTGTGATCATCAGCGCTTCTGTACGATGCTAGGTCTTGTGCCTACTTGGCCTCACTTGCTCACTTCTTGACCTTGCTTGTACTGTGATCTTTCTATACCTGCACTTGCTTGTTTACCTTTATATATGATCTTGCATGTGAACTGGCTTTGTGGCCTTGCTCCCGTGCTCGGAATGTGTGGTGACGTTGTGATCCACCCTTGCTTTGCTTGACTGGTCTTGTGACCTCTTGTTCTCCTCCACTTTGCCTATGGGGATGTGTCAAACTTATATGCTCTAGTCTGTGTAGGCTGTAGTGGGGTAGACAATATGGGGTACAACATTTTTAGGTTTTCCTACTTGTACCCACTTGCTTGCTAGTTCATTCATCTCTCGTTCTTTCACAAGACTTGCACTGAGCATACGCGGTGGGCCGCTGCTTGGGTTGCAGGGCATACGCCATGCGTAGGGAGCGGATGGAGCGAACTGCACTCTCTGCTGTCGCCATCATTGCTTCAGCTTCTGGGTCCGCCCACTCCTGCCATTAGTGCAGAGGGGGGCAGAGGGGTGCAGAGGGGTGCGACGGTAGGAGATTAGAACATGACATTCAAAGTTCTGCCCATTGCTGGTGCTGCAGCGCATAGGCCATGCGCAGGGAGCGGATGGAGCGTATGGCGCTTTCTGCCGTTGCCATTATTGCCTCTACTTCTAGGTCCGCCCACTCCTGTTGGTGAGTGAAGTGTGGTGAAGAGGGGTGCAGAGGCGTGAAGAGGGATGCAGAAGCATGAAGAGGGGTGCAAATGTGTGAATAGGGGTGAAAGTGTGGGAGAGGATCTGTCAAGCGGGGAAAGGAAACATCACATTTAGAGATCATCAGTGAAAGTCATGCAGCGCTGTCCGACCTCAACAGCAAGAAAGCTCGTGGATCTACATTGACTTGACAGTAATAGGTAGATCTGATCTCTCTTTACCTCAACTGTACTCGCCTATCATTAATATAAAGATCATTCGAGAGACCACACATTGACATTGCTTCGCGTACCTTGACGGGCGAGGGGTAGGGGGCGAGCATGATGGACGGCCACGAGTGGTCGGCTGGCTTGGGCAAGCTCTGCCAGAGCTCCTCCGTGACGAATGGCATGAAGGGATGCAGCAGTGAGAGTGATAGGCTGTTGACTTGACCGAGTAGGAAGGGATTCTTCTGCTTCGCGTACCTTGACGGGCGAGGGGTAGGGGGCGAGCATGATGGAGGGCCACGAGTAGTCGGCGGGTTTGGGCAGGCGCTGCCAAAGCTCCTCCGTGACGAATGGCATGAAGGGGTGCAGCAGTGAGTGCTTTTAGCTGACATGGATCGCGCTGGTGATTCTTCTAACAGGTGAGAGGTGCTTTTCCTTACCTTGACGGGCGAAGGATAAGGTGCGAGCATGATGGACGGCCACGAGTAGTCGGCTGGCTTGGGCAGGCGCTGCCAGAGCTCCTCCGTGACGAATGGCATGAACGGGTGCAGCAGCCGGAGGCCAGCGTCTAGACACACCCAGAGGACCTCGCGAGTCACCTAGGGGGTGGAGAGCGTTTAAGCCGGGTGGAGAGGAGTAAGAAGAGGTGGAGAGAGTTGGAAACGGGTGGAGGGTAGTGAGAGTCCAACATGGAGGTGAGGGGAAAGAAAAGGCCAGAGCTCCTTCGTGGCGAATGGCATGAAGGGGTCGAGCAGACGGAGGCCAGCGTCCAGACACACCCAGAGGACTTCGCGCGTCACCTTAGAGTGAAGGAGAGCGGTGGAGAGGGATAGCAAGCGATGGAGAGAGTTGGGAAGCGGTGGAGAGGAGTGGAGGAGGGTGGGAGGTCAACATGGAATGGAGATGCGGGAAGCAAAGAAGCCAAAGCTCCTCCATGACGAATGGCATGAAGGGATGCAGCAGCTGTAGGACACGTCCAGACACACCCAGAGGACTTCGCGTGTCACTTGAGAGCAGTGGAGAGCGGGGATGGAGGGGGGTGGAGAGTGGTGGAATGGGATGCAGTAGGTCAAGCATCGAGGTGAGGAAAAAAAAAAACAAGCCAAAGCTCCTGGGTGACGAAGGGCATGAAATCCGGCTTGGCCACTCCAATGAACACGTCGCACGGTTGGTACTGCCACCATGCGTGCACAGCTGGTACTGCCACCATGCGTGCACAGCTGAGCTGCACTTACCCACCTGCTTCAGTTTCAGGGCCTCCTCCCTGTCTGGCAGCAACCACTCACCCACCTGCTTCAGCTTCAGGGCTTCCTCCCCTTCGGCTGCGTTGAAAGCCGGCTTGGCCACTTCAATGAACACGTCGCACAGTTGGTACTGCCACCACACGTACGTCGCGTTGGTCGCCTCTGCCAGGTCATACCCCTCCAGTGCAGTTACCGTACGTGTAACCACAACATTCACCACCAAGAGAATCCAGCGACAGGACAGGGGGAGCGGTGCAGAAAAGGCGAAGTTGAGCGTGGGAGTGAGGGCAGGAGAGGAGGAGGAATCGGAGGAAGTGGGTTGGGGGAGCACGGACGGGGGCGTGAAGGAGTCCCCGAGGTTGAGCATGGCGAAGCGGATTGCGTTCCAGAGCTTGTTGCACCAGAGGCGGTAGCCGTGCACTCGCTGAATGTCCAGGTTGATGTTCATCCACTGGGGGGGAGAGGAAGTGCAGAAAGGCGGAGAGGGGAAGGGACGGGGAGGTTGAGCAGGTGAGTGAGTTGCATTTCATCTCACATTGACAGCTTGTTGCACCAGAGGTGGTAGCCGTGCACTTGCTGAATGTCCAGGTTGATGTTCATCAACTGAGGGGAGGAGGGAGGAGGGAGGAGGGAGGAGGGAGGAGGGAGGAGGAAGGAGGGAGGAGCGAGGGAAGAGAGAACCGAGAGGGCCGGAAGAGGGGAGGAGACGGGAGGAGATGGGGTAGGTGAGCATTGAGTGAGTCGTCTCACAACCACAGCTTGTTGCCTTTGAGAAGTGGTAAAATCACCAGAGGGGGTAGCTGGCTCAATGTTCAGATTGATGTTCATCCACTGGGGAAGGGAGGAGGACAAGTTGGGAAAGGACGAGGGACAAGAGGTGTGGGTGGGGGAAGGAAAGAAAACAGCGGTCTTGCACTAGAATAGGTGCGTTTCGAGATTTGCCTTCAGCTGTTGCAAGCCCATGGAAAAACCCCCCCACCACACACTCTGGGACCCAAAAGAACGCACCTGAGTGGTGTAGTTGACAAGTGCAAAACGCAGGGCATCACACCCGCCCTCGGCGATCCCATTGGGGAAGTTCGCGGCGCTGCCCTGCGTGCGCCTTCTTCACTTCACCTCCCGCGGGTCCAGACTGCCCTGCTCAAGGCGATGCTGTCGATTTTTTTTTTTGGTTTCATTCAAGAACCCACGCATCGTGCCCGTACCTGTGTCGTGTAGTTGACGAGGGCGAAGCGCAGGGCATCGCACCCACACTCGGCAATCCCATTGGGGAAATCTGCAGCCTACCCTGCCTGGGCCTTCTTTACCTCCCACGGGTCCAGCCATATTGCCCTGCTCCAGGTTCATGGTTCACCTCTAGGCTAGGCTGTAGTTGTTGCACGGCGATTGTAAAAGCACATACCTGAGTAGTATAGTTGACAAGCGCGAAGCGCAGAGCATCACACCCACACTCGGCGATCCCATTGGGGAAATCCGCAGCCTGCCCTGCCTGCGCCTTCTTCACCTCCTGCGGGTCCAAATTGCCCTGCTCCAGGTTTGCTTGCAGCTGCTGCAGGGTGATTGCCATCACGCTGAAACCCCAAAAAACCCACCTGTGTAGTATAGTTGACAAGAGCGAAGCGAAGAGCATCGCAGCCACACTCAGCGATCCCGTTGGAGAAATTTGCAGCCTGCCCTGCCTGGGCCTTCTTCACCTCCCGGGGGTCAAGGTTCCCCTGCTCCAGATTCGCCTGCAGCTGCTGCAGGGAGATGCCGTTGATCACCTCCAGAGGGTCAATCACGTTGCCCAGCGACTTTGACATCTTTCGGCCATGAGCGTCGCGCACCATGGCATGCAGATACACCTGTGGGGGAATGGGGGGGGGGGGAATAGGGGAGTATATAACGAGAGGGAGGAGGGTTTGCAAGGAGTGGCGACCTCCAGAGGGTCGATCACGCTGCCCAGGGATTTGGACATCTTGCACCCGTGTGCACTTTTGAGTCGACTCGAAAGTCACCTCGTTGCCCAGATTTGGACATATTGCGCCCGTGCGCATCGCACACCATGGCATGCAGGTAGACCCGTTTGGGAATAGATGAGGAGAGTGAAAAGGTTCAGGGCGAGGTGGGATTGTGTCACACACACCTGCTCGAACAACATCAATACACCACAAAAAAGTTTCGAGGCGCCTTGAAAGTAGTCACACCTGCTCCAATAGCTATACACCACATACAAGCCATCCCTCAGTGAGCCTCCCACGCACCTGCTTGAAGGGCAGCTGCCCGGTAAACCGAAGCCCCATAAACACCATTCTGGTGATCGAGAAGAAGAGAATATCATGCCCCGTCTCCAGAAGCGCGGTATAAAACCATAGCACCATTTGAACATCCCTTTCATCCCTTCGTATACCTTGGCAACCACTTTTCACTCCTTTCCACTCGCTCACTTGTTTAAATGGCAGTTGCCCAGTGAGTCTCAGCCCCATGAACACCATTCTCGCAACCCAGAAGAAGAGAATGTCATGCCCCGTCTCCAGCAGCGCGGTTGGGTAAAATGTCTTGAAGTCAGCCGTCTCCTCCGGCCACCCAAACACTGAAAATGGAAACAGCCCCGACGAAAACCACGTGTCGAGCACATCCGGGTCCCGCCCGAGCTCAAATTTCCTGCCCGGAAACTTCTTTTTGGCTGCCCGGCGCGCGTCTTCGTCGGTGCGGGCGACGACCCAGTTGGTGTTGTATGCGCCGAATTCGCGGACAGGGAAGTCACGGGCGGCAGCCTCGTCTGATTGGTCGAAGGTGACGTACCATGCGGGGATGCGGTGGCCCCATCGGAGCTGGCGGGAAATGCACCAATCACAGATGTTCTCCAGCCATCTGAGGGAGGGGAAGGGGGAGGAGGAAGAGGGGAGTGGGAGGGGAGTGGGAGGCACACGTTTCCTCGTGTGCCTTGTAATGAATTCTAGCTGGCCGACCCTGACCTGACAGGCGACGCCCCGAGGGCGCCGCGACGAGCAAGAATGTCGCCCAGGAGGCGCCGCGACGAGCAGGGGCAAAGCCCCGGGGGCGTCACGACGAGCAAAGACGGCGCCCAGGGGGCACCGTGACGAGCAAGGGCGACGCCCCGGGGGGCGTCGCGATGAGTAGGGACGGCGCTCAGGGGGCGCCGCGACGAGCAGGGGCGACGCCCCGGGGGCACCGCGACGAGCAGGGACGACGCCCAGGGGGGGCGCCACGACGAGCAGGGGGGGGACGCCGCGCGGGTCCCGCAGGGGCGTCGCGACGAGCAGGGTTTAGGGCGGTGCACGTGCTGTACAGGCAGCTCCCACAGGCTGTAGAGGCAGGCATGGCTGCAAGGGCAACGCCTACGGGCTGCAGGGGCAGGCACGGCTGCAGAGGCAGCGCCCACGGGCTGCAGGGGCAGGCACGGCTGCAGGGACAGCACGGTTGCAGGGGCAGCTAAAAAAAATATCTGGTAGGGCAAGGCGAAACGTTCGGTGGGCCCTAGGAACGATTCTGCTTTGATACCATGTGAGAATAAGAACGAGGAATGAATAAACTAGCAAGCAGGTGGGTACAAGTATGAAAACCTAAAAGAATTGTACCCCATATTGTCTACCCCACTACAGCCTACCAATAGTTCTGACACGTCAAGGACAGCTTCTTCCTATCCTACGCATCAACTTGCAGTTATAGTGCAGCTGTACCAGCCATGCGCTTCTCGAAGTGTGGGAGAATCTGACCTGAAAAGGCCATGTGAGGTTCGAGGCAAAGTAATATTGGAAACAGGCTATCTGTAGAAATACCCTACTCAAATCAGGCTACCATGCCAAAATCCTTGATTTACCCTGATGCAAATAGGGTATGGAAAATTTTACACAATGGGTCAGGGTGAAGAGGGGTTGGAACCCTGATTTGTTAGGGTGGGCCTAAACCAATTTTGGGCCCTGCAGGCATATGATTGTTACACTCGTCACTTCGTCGGCTCCTTCAGCCATGTGTGTCGTGATTCTAATTACTGCCTTTCGTAAACATGCCACTTGCAGCGCCTATGGCGACTGCGATTGCCGCTTCGTTGGTTGCGCAGCGTGCCATTTATTATCTGGCATACAGGATTTCTAGCGTTTTAGCAAGAGAGCATCACAGGTACGTTGTTCAAAATTTAACAGTTAGTGCTAACCCTTTTTGTGAATGCGTGTAGCAGTTGTGTAGGACGTGTATAATGGGTTGTGTCAGAACATTATAGCTTATACTTTTGTGTAGGCTGTAGTGGGATATCCCATAGGGGGTACAACCCAATTAGGGTTAGTACTTGTACCAGCTTCATTCATAGTTCATTCATTCTCGTTTCTTCTCATGGTATCGAGCAGGTTCCCTCGTGGGAACTGTTCTTAGGGCCCACCAAAATCTAAAATTCTTTTCCTGCCCGGAGCGCGCCTCGCTTAGGCCTCCTTCGGCCCCGTCGCGTCGCCCCTAGCGACCTCCCTTCTGCCGCCCTTGCTCGGCCGTCGCCGCCCTTAGCGGCCCGTCGCCACCCTACGCGGCTCGGCGCCGCCCTTTCGCCGCCCGTCCCGGCCCGTCGACGCCCATGCGCCGCCCGTCCCGGCCCCGCGCCGCTGTCCCGGCCTGTCCCCGCCCGTGCGCTGCCCGCCCCGGCCCGTCGCCGCCCGTCCCGGCTCGTCGCCGCCCGTGCGCCGCCTGTCTCGGCCCGTCACCGCCCGTACCGGCCCGTGCGCCGCCTGTCCCGGCCCGTCGCCGCCCGGCCCGTCGCAGCCCTTCGCGGCATCGCGTGCCGCCCCTACCCGCGGCTCTGCCACCTTACCTGCGGCCCCGCCACCCTACCCGTGGCTCCGCCGCCTTACCCTACCTGCAGCCCCGCCGCCCTACCTGCGGCCCAGCCGCCTTACCTACGGCCCGGCCACCCTACCTGCGGCCCTGCTGCCTTACTCTCGGCCCCGTCACCTGCTGCAGCGCCGCCCGCCACCCGAGTCGCCCGAGCCGTCTCACCCGGCCGAGCAGCCGGCCGCCGCGCCGCCCTGCAGCAGCACAACCAAGCCGCCCAGCGGCAGAGCAGCCGAGCCGCCCAGCAGCCGAGCCGCCCAGCACCCGAGCCACCCAGCAGCCAAGCCGCCCAGCAGCCAAGCCGCCTAGCAGCCGAGCCGCCCAGCAGCCGAGCCGCCCAGCAGCCGAGCCGCCCAGCAGCCGAGCCGCCCAGCAGCCGAGCCACCCAGCAGCAGAGCTGCCGGGCCGCCGAGCCGCCCAGCAGCCGAGCCGCCGACCAGCCGAGCCGCCGAGCCGCCCTACTTCTGGGCCGCCCGAGCTGCCCAGTCTGGTGAGCACAGCGCCTCTTTCACTGCACTGCCCTCACCCTACTGTTTGCACTGCTAGTCGTCTGTGGTCATGGCTACCCCTAGTGTCCTCGTCTTTGACGTTGAGGGTCGGGCCATTGACTTTGAGGTCTGGGTAGATGAGCTGCAGTTGTTCTTACAGTGCGATAGGGCAGACGGCCTCTCTCTCTTTGACCTCACCTCTGGCGCTTCCCCTGCCCCTCTTGCTGATGCTGACGCCACTGTTCGCTCCCAGTGGGCCACGTGCAACGCTGCTGCACGTCTTGCTGTGCGTCGCCACCTCCCTACCTCCGAGCGTGCGCACTTTAGCCAGTACAAGAGTGCTCAGACCTTGTACGACGCTGTAGTCGCGCGCTACTCCTCCCCTGCCACTGCTGCACTGAGGCGTCTCATGCTACCGTACCTCTTCCCTGACCTTGCTGCCTTTCCCACAGTAGCTGACCTCATGACGCACCTCCGCACTAGTGACACTCGCTACCGCGCTGCACTTCCTGCTGACTTCTGCGCCAAGAACCCCCCCCCCCCATGTACATCACTCTCTACTACATAGTCACTCGCCTCCCTGCCTCCCTTCGTGTAGTCAGGGACCACTTCCTCTCAGTCTGTCCCACCACTCTCACTGTTGACCTCCTCGAGAAGGCCCTCCTAGCGATAGAGAAGAGCATAGTCGCTGTAGGAGCCTCTCGAGGTGACCCGCGCACCCCCATCTTTGAGGGGTGTTCCCCCTCCCCCCTTCTGCCCTCTGTTGCCTCTGCTGCTGCGGCCGACCTCCTTCGTCTTGAGTCGGTCGGTGCGGCGTCTGCCCCTAGCGGGAGATGCCGCCTTGGCAAGGGCAAGGGGGGCAGGGGCGCTGGAGGAGCGAGCGAGGGCGGTGGAGGTGGAGGTGGCGGCAGTGGGGGGAGCGGGGGTGGCGGTGGGAGTGGAGGTGGGAGTGGAGGGGTCGGTGGCGGCAGTGGAGGCGGAGGCGGCGGCGGCGGTGGCGGTGGGAGCGGAGGTGGCGGTAGTGGAGGAGGCGGCGGAGGCGGCGGCAGTAGCGGAGGCGGCGGAGGCGGCGGCGGTGGCGGTGGAGCTGGTCGCGGGTCTTCGCAGAGGAGTGGCTCCGGTGGTGGCTCGCGCCAACAGCAGCAGCGCGGTTGTCAGACCCTGTCCCCTCAGCAGCTCCGTGAGTGGTACACTACACGCCAGCGGGGTGGCTTTGGTCCGTGCACTTACGTCCTGCGCACCGGCGACCGTGCGGGTGAGCAGTGTGGGGGTGCGCACCCCACCCAGCGCTGCTTTGACCGCCTGATAGACGCGTGGCGTCACCACTTCTTGGAGGCCACAGAGATCCCTCGCTTGGGCGAGCTGTCTTGGGCGGGTGTTTCCATCTATGATCTTGACTTTGATGCTATTCTCTCTGCCATATATGCTGTGTCTATTAGTGATGAGGGTGACTCTTACCGGTGTTTCCCGCCCGATCCGGGCATTGAGACTGCTGCTCTAGGTACTGGTGCGGCTGCTGCCCTGGGTGCTTGCGACGCTGCTGCTCTAGGTGCTAGTGCGTCTGCGTCCTCAGGTACTGGTGAGTCTGCGCTCTCAGGTACTTCGTCGGCTTCGGCCTCCCTCACCTTCACCCTTGACTCTGGGGCTTCTCGCTCCTTCTTTCGGGACCGTACCACACTCACGCCACTTAGTCGGCCGGTTGCGGTGTCTCTGGCTGACCCCTCTGGGGGTCTTGTCCTGTCTCGCTTCTCCACAGTCCTCCCGTGTCCGGCGGCTCCCTCTCGCACCCTGTCTGGTCTCTACCTCCCCTCGTTCTCTACGAACCTGGTGAGTGGTGCTGACCTACAGGATGCGGGGGTTCACCAGTTCACTCCTGCGCGTCAGCGGGTGACGCACTGCACAGAGGCTAGCACAGGCCGACACCTGGCTACGTTTACCCGTCAGCCGGGGTCGAGCCTGTACACAGTGACCACTGCGTCTCCTCCTGTTGCTGAGTCTGGTAGGGTCGCTGCGTTGGGCCAGGTGTTTGCTGCAGAGTCCAGGTCTGGTCCTGAGTCTGCCCCCTGTTCCTGTCATCTCCTGTCTTACGAGACTCTCCTCTGGCACCACCGCCTTGGTCACCCCTCTCTGCTTCGGCTCAGAGGCATGGCCTCCCATCTTCTTGTGTCTGGTCTCCCCCGGTCCCTCCCTCCCCTTCCTCAGGGCCCTGGCCCTATCTGTGTCCCCTATGTCGAGGGGCACCTGCGTGCTGCCCCTCACTCCTCCCAGTTTCCTCCGACAGAGGCCCCGTTGCAGACGCTTCACATGGACGTGTGGGGCCCAGCCCGCGTCCGTGGACAGGGTCACGAGCGCTACTTCCTGCTCGTTGTTGACGACTACTTGCGTTACACCGCAGTCTTCCCCTTGCGCAGCAAAGGTGATGTCACTGAGGTGCTGATCGACTGGATCCGCGCAGCTCGTCTCCAGCTCAGGCAGAGCTTAGGCTCGGACTAACCTGTTCTGCGTCTGCACTCGGACAGAGGCTGAGAATTCTCCTCTGGCCTTCTACCAGCCTACTGTCATGCACGAGGCATCTGTCAGACCTTCACGCTTCCGGACTCTCCGCAGCAAAATGGGATTGCTGAGCGCCGCATTGGCATGGTCATGGACTTCGCCCGTACGTCTATGATGCATGCGGCTGCCCCCCATTTTCTGTGGCCGTTTGCGGTGAGGTACGCGGCGCATCAGATCAACCTTCACCCCAGGGTCTCCAGGACGGAGACCTCCCCAGCCTTGCTGTGGACGGGGAAGGTTGGCGATGTGTCGGCGTTCCGGGTCTGGGGATCTCGGGCGTTTGTCCGCGACTTGTCTACGGACAAGGTGTCCCATCGTGCTGCTCCTTGCGTCTTCCTGGGGTTCCCCCCTGACGCGCCTGGGTGGCAGTTCTACCACCCCACCTCTCGCCGTGTTCTGTCCTCCCAGGACGTCACGTTCGACGAGTCGGTCCCCTACTGCCGCCTCTTCCCCTACCGCACTCCGTCCCTCCCCCCGCCCCCGCTCTTCCTTGTACCAGGTCCCCCCCCAGTAAACCCCCTCCCCCCTCAGGGTCCTGCCCCTTCAGGTGTGTCCCAGGTAGACGCAGTCGAGCCTGTCGAGGTAACTGGTGACTCTCGTGCTGCTGGAGGTATTTAGCCTGAGGGTGCTGGGCCTGGGGGTGCGAAGCCTAGGGGTGCTGAGCCTGGGGGTGCTGAGTCTAGGGGTGCTACGCCTGGGGGTGCTGAGCCTGGGGGTGCTGAGTCTGGGGGTGCAAAGCCTGGGGGTGCTGAGCCTGGGGGTGCTGAGCCTGGGGGTGCTGAGTCTGCGGGTGCTACGCCTGGGGGTGCTACGCGTGGGGGTGCTGAGCCGGGAGGTGCTCCGCTTGGAGGTTCTCTAGGTGCTTCGTCTGGC